CCAGGAGATCGCCCGGCCCAGCAAATCGTCCCACGAGTCACATTGCTGTCCAGAAGGTGCTCCAGATCCTTTTCCTCGATCAAAGGCAGCTCTGGCCGGAGCAGGTCACGCCACTTCCGGAACATTGGATCGAGGAAGGAGAGAAAATCGCCGCTGACAGTGGTCGCATTGTTGGGCTCAGTGAAGACGAAATGCCGGTCACAACGATGAAGGAAATCGTACTTGAGGTATCCACCCACTTTGGCATCCGCTTTAGAGCGTTCGTCGCCCTGCAGAGTTGCAAAGCGGTGAAGATCGTCGATGAGCAGCACACATGGCTGACGGTCCAGCCACTCACGCGCAGTGCGCTCGCTAATGGATGCGTGCCTGAGCCACATCGTAAAGTTCAGCTTGTCCACGTCCACATTGGCTGCCCGTGCGACCCTTGCTTGCGCCTCGTCGGTCGCCGCCGCCCACGCCAGCCGCAGATTGAGTGAGTCGAACAACGGCGTAGAGGCGCCTTCGGTGTCTATGTTGTACTCGGTCTCGTCACCAAAAGAGATAAAGACAGCGGGGATGCCTTCCTGTCGCAGCTTTTTAGACAGCTCTTTCAGCATCAGGGTCTTGCCAGCGCCTTGGAAGCCGACGAGTGACATTGGCATCACTCGCGCGCTCGAATCGTCATACCTCCCGTACTCGCGCAGCAGCAGCGAATAGGCCTTGTCCATATAATCGCTCCCAATGAACACCTCAGGCTCTGTCGTCAAGTCCACTCGAGGGAGTGGCACCTCAGCCGTGGGCAACAGATCATCCACTGTCAGCTCCACACGACCTGCAGACGAAAGTGACACACCAGACAAGATGAGTCTTCCTGCCTGGTCGTCAATGGGGAGATGAACGTGTGCCCACCTTCCAGCGATGGCTTGCCGGCTGCCTCCGGTGAATCGCCGGCCGTTTCCGCCTGTGTGGCGACGGCAGAGAGCAGCGCTGTGCGACGTCGCATGGACGGCCATCTGAAAGCCACACACATATGGACGGCATCCCATCTGCCTGTCCGTCTGTGTGCATTCATCTACCTGGCTGTTGCAGCTGAAGGCCGCATTCTGTTGATTGGGCCCAGAGATGCAGAATGAGTGGATGGATGACGCAGCTGAACGAAACACACACACACAGGCAGAAGCACAGAGAAGGAATCGTTCATGCGAATGGCGTGGATGCCCGTCGATCTGTCCAGTCAGCTCACCTCTCGGCAAGTGCCGGCATGGATGGCCCTCACAGACTCATCTCGACGCATCCCAAAGCCCCTCAGGGGCATCTCCTTCGGCACACTTGGCAGGAAGGCTTCTAGAGGGCCTCCCCTCCCTCTGTGCGGACGCATGCGCATCAGCTGGAGCCCACTCGCCGCTCTGTCGCTGCCGATGGCAGCGGCAGTCTGCGTCGTGTTCAGCGGCAGAAGCAGCAACGCCATAGAGATGAGGCGAGAGAAGGCGACAAGATGGACTCGGGGAGGCATGCAGCGGACCGTCATTCTGTCAGGGATGGGACGAAACAGCCTGTTTGAAGCAACGTGCACACACAGCGGGGAGAGAGCGACGAGATGAACTGTCAGTTAACTGTGTGATTCTGTGCTTGTTGATCCGTCCTTGCGAACCTGCGTGAGCGAAGCCGTGCTTGTAGAGGCACGGTTTGCGCACCGTGCTCGTGCAAGCTCAGCTGCGATCCCTGCTTGAAAAGGGTGTGAAAACGGTGCAATTAGTTGAAGTAGGTCGTATGGTCAACTGATGTGAAATACATCGACTTGGAGCGGCAGCATTCATCACTTCCCTCAGCACAGCGGCCACACATCTGACGCATCTGCCTGTACATGTCGCACTGAGGCAGGCAGGCAGGCAGGCAGGGAGAAAAGAGCTTGATCATTGAAGTTGGATGCAACCATCGGCCATTCACATTCACACAGCTCATTCCAAACACAGACAGCTGGAGCCGATCACAGTGGCCCCGCCGGTTTAATTTCTACCGACTCACAGACAACACGCACGACCACATCCTTATAGTTTGTCCATCTACTAATTCCTTCATTTGGCTACACAGAGACTTGAAAAACAACACAGACACCCGAAAAAAGCCACTAATGAATGGTCTGTCTGTTTGTCTGTTTGTCTGTCTGTCTGTCTAGCCGCATGCATGAACGTCAGGCAGCCATCCATCCATCCATCCATCCATCCACGCAGCTATGGAGATGTCTACACACATATCTACAGCTCATCTTTGCTTCCTTTCTGTCCTCCATCGCCCTCCCCCGGCCGCATCCCCTCGTCAAGCGCACCGAAGCCGTCATGGTCACTGTGCCCGTTGTGCGCATCTCTGAAGGCAACGAGGAACGTCTCAGCGGGGCTTGATCGGAACTTGCTCGACCTGGCCCAGAAGACCAGATTCTGTCTGCGGCCGCTCTCCAAGGGGTGTGCGCCGTGCCAGTGCTGCCCCACGTGCAGCAGCGCTCCTCCAGGCAGGTGAGCCACCGACGGCTGGCGGGCCTTCTCGTCCTTCTCGTGTGGGTGGTCTCTCTGGCCTTTGAAGTAGACCTTGCCGCCGGTGAAGGTCTCGTCGCCCAGACAGATATTGAGTGTAACCTCGGACAGATCCATGTGTTTGTCGAGGTGGATGTCCTCCTTGGCCGAGTAGGCTATGGTGAAGGCGTGATGGCTGTCGAGCGAAGAGCCGCCCCAGTCGGGAAACGCCGCACTGGCCAGTGGGCGGACGACGGAGGTCATCAGGCCGTCGAGCCACTCCCGCATCCCGAGCTCCTCGAGCACAAAGCCGTAGTTGTTCATCGTGTTGGGCCGCGTGAAGTTGAGCTGCCCGCTCTGCTGCTGGTACGCGTGGGAGAGTTCCTCGGTGATCAGTCGCCTGAACGTCGGCGTCAAGACCTCTGGGATGTAGTAGACATCACTGGCGCCCTCCACCGGCTGAAGCGCCGCCATGACGGCCTCGTTGCTGCCACTGCTGAGCGCGCCTCTCAGGTCAGCCGATATGTCCCGCTCGTAGTCGAAGTGGCGCAGCTGCTCGTGCAGGGGCTGGTACTGGGCGGCGATGAGGGCCTTCTTGTCTTCAAGAGCGGCCTCTTCCTCTGACCTGTGGTGGGCCTCCTTCCACTGTCTGTGCTTGGCCAGGCTGCGCAGGTGGGATGACGGGAGGGGCGGGGAGCCGCCTTGTTCATCGTCGGTGTGTCTGGGGGTCAGCAAGATGTGGGTCTGCCGCTCCGTGAGCGGCACGCCAGCAGGGGTGACGAGCCGGAAGGTCAGCTCGTGGAAGCCCTGCTTCAGAATGATGCTGTCATCGATCACCACCTGCACGCATCCACCCATCCATCCATCCATCCGTCAGGCATGAGAGCATACAGGCTGTGGTCGGCCGACCTGCTGTGTTGGGTGTCTGTCGGCTGCTGGTCGTTGTGCCTTTGCCCGGCATTCACTCGCGTCGCTCCTGGTGGGGCAGAAGGCGTGCTTGTGGACTGACTTGTGGGGCGTGGGCGGCACATCGTACAGCCAGATGTCCGAATAACCACCTGAGTGACAAGAGAAAGACAGACAGGGAAGAAGACGCGAATCAATCACACGCACACTATGGTGCATCCAATGGCCATTTTCCCGTCCACGGCTATTCACCTGATCTGACGGCGACCTCCAGATGTGCGCCATGCGGCACACTGAGCCCTCTCTCCAGCCGCACTACAATCGGAACGTGTCGGCCCAGCCCAGGAACATCTCGGATGACCTCGAACGGTCGCGGATGAATGATCTCCATGTTGGCGCCAGCGGACGAGGCAAGGTGGACGAGAACCCACAGGATAAGCACCATACAGCAGGAAAGGCCCATGGAATTGTCGTCTTTGCTGCAATCTTCACTGGCGTGCCAGCGTGGATGCTGCACAGATCCACGTAAGTCTACTCTTGCGTGCGCACCGGATGACGTGGGAATGATTGGGATTTGTGACGTCATCGCGATCCACTCAGCAGCTCGCAGTGAAATCTCCTCCGAGTCTGAAACCGCTCTCTGTCGCCAGACGGCGCATACACGTGCCTCTACAAGCACAGCTTCGCTCACGCAGGTTCGCAGGCATGGATCAACAAGCACAGAATCACACAGTTCAGTTCATCTCGTCGCTCTCTCCCCGCTGTGTGTGCACGTTGCTTCAAATAGGCTGTTTCGTCGGACTCCCATCCCTGACAGAATGATGGTCCGCTGCATGCCTCCCCGAGTCCATCTTGTCGCCTTCTCTCGCCTCATCTGTATGGCGTTGCTGCTTCTGCCGCTGAACACAACGCAGGCGGCCACTGCCATCGGCAGCAACAGAGCGGCGAGTGGGCTCCAGCTGATGCGCATGCGTCCGCACAGAGGGAGGGGAGGCCCTCTAGAAGCCTTCCTGCCAAGTGTGCCGAAGGAGATGCCCCTGAGGGGCTTTGGGATGCGTCGAGATGAGTCTGTGAGGGCCATCCATGCCGGCAAGAGCCGAGAGGTGAGCTGACTGGACAGATCGACGGGGATCCACGCCATTCGAATGGTTCCTTCTCATTCAGCTGCGCCATCCATCCACTGCTTCTCCATCCCTGGGCCCAATCAACAGAATGCGGCCTTCAGCTGCAACAGCCAGGTAGATGAATGCACACAGACGGACAGGCAGATGGGATGCCGTCCATGTGTGTGTGGCTTTCAGATGGCCGCCCATGCGGCGTCACACAGCGCTGCTCTCTGCCGTCGCCACACAGGCGGAAACGGCCGGCGATTCATCGGAGGCAGCCGGCAAGCTATCGCTGGAAGGTGGGCGAACATTCACTCACGCAAAGTTGACATAGGCAGAGACAGTCATCTTGTCTGTGTTATCACTTTTCGTCTGCAGGTCGCTTGAAGCTGACAGAGGATGATCTGTTGCCCACGGCTGACGTGCCGCTGCCTCGAGTGGACTTGACGACAGAGCCTGAGGTGTTCATTGGGAGCGATTATGTGGACAAGGCTTATTCGCTGCTGCTGCCCGAGTACGGGAGGATGGACTCGTCGAGCGAGCGAGTGATGCCAATGTCATTCGTCGGCTTCCAAGGGGGTGGCAAGACCAGGATGCTGAAAGAGCTGTCTAAGAAGCTGCGACAGGAGAGCATCCCCGCTATCTTTATCCCTTTTGGTGACGAGACCGAGTACAACATAGACACCGAAGGCGCCTCTACGCCGTTGTTCGACTCACTCAATCTGCGGCTGGCGTGGGCGGCGGCGACCGACGAGGCGCGAGCACGGGTCGCACGGGCAGCCAATGTGGACGTGGACAAGCTGAACTTTACGATGTGGCTCAGGCACGCATCCATCAGCGAGCGCACCGCGCGTGAGTGGCTCGACCGTCAGCCATGTGTGCTGCTCATTGACGACCTGCACCGCTTTGCGACTCTGGAGGGCGGCGAACGCTCTGAAGCCGAGGGCGAAGTGGGTGAATACCTCAAGTACGATTTCCTCAATAATTCTGACCGGCACTTCGTCTTCACTGAGCCCAACAATGCGACCACTGTCAGCCGCAAGTTTCTTCGGTTCCTCGATCCAATGTTCCAAAAGTGGCGTCACCTGCTCCGGCCAGAGCTGCCTTTGATCGAGGAAAAGGACCTCAAACACTTTCTGAACAATAATGTGACTCGTGGAACGATTTGCTGGGCCGGGCGATCTCCTGGACTAGTGTGGGAGATGCGTCAGCACGGTGGCTCTCTGGAGGCCAAAGTCGGTAACGTCTCTCGTGTCGATCGGAGAAGATTTGGAGCGATTGGGGTATTATGCGATTTTCTGGCTACGGCGATGGAAGGGACCAGCCGCTCTTCTGAGCCTAATATCGGCAACTGGACGGCATTGTTGAATGTGTTTGACGAAGTGAGGACTTCTCATATTGGGCATGGACGACTGGCGTGGCACAGAACATACTCACTGCCTCCTTGCTATCTGGCCGGTATGTGCGCTTCTCTGGCGCAATGGGACGCTTTGAAGGAGAAAGCTGGCGAGTCGTTTTGTGAAGGACTGAATGCTGTTGCCAGCAGCCTGCACATGCTCAATCATGCTGAGGAGGGACGCCAGTGGGTCGGGCCGTGTGCAACGGCGGTGCTCATACGATTGCTGCAAGGCGAAATAGCGAAGCTAACCCACTATGGCCCCCGCGATGCTGACGAGGTCCCACCGCAGGTCGGCAACGTCCTTCTCGGTTCTCTCGTGATACCGTTGAATTACGACAAAGAGGCGATGGGCTGCAAATTATATATATATTCTTTTTGGCGGGTACTTCAGTAGCTCGGAGTGGAGAAACACTGAGGAAGTCATTAAGGCGTTTGTCGAGAGGAGCGCACCTCCATGCTCTGCACGATTCGAATGGGATCCTGACACCGTCTTCTTCTATCAGCCTGAGCCCGATGCCTTCGAGGGTATCTATGACTTTTTTGTGTTCGTGGTGGACAACGATGGCAAGCTGACCGATGTGTGGGGCTACAAGTGTGTCCGCGAAGACGTCTTACCACCAGGAGAGGACGAGCCTTTTATCGACTATAAAGATCGCCGGCAGCAATGGATGGAAACCAATGTGTGGCCGCCTCTGGCCGGGGATCCGCTGCCGGGCGCGGCCGACCTCTTCAGTGATCCCGATATGCGGTCGATAGAGATCAAGTCAGTGTGGCTGCCAGGGGGTGGGGGGCGGGGAGAGAAGGCATTTGTGAGGAGGCAGGAGGATGGCCATGCGTGAATTGTGCCATCTCGGGACGATGTTGATGCACTACTCGGTCTGGCACTGAACCGCACATGCTCCTCTGTGCGTTGCAGTGCTTGAATCTTTGTGGGTCAAGTTTTGCTGTGGTGTAAAAAACGGGTATGCTTATGTGGGTGGGTGAGGATGAGTTTTGCCGTCTTTTACCAGTGAGGATAGATAAGTAGCGCATGTCCTCACATTGATGACTTTTGTCTTCCCGTCACGTGACTTTTTCATACTGCTACAGTCTCGTGACAGTCCAGCAGATGACACTCGTATTCAGTCAATGCGTATATTGCGTTTATTGCGTGTTCCCCTACTCGGGCATCTGTCTGTGCTAGTTGACAACCCACTCGTGTGCTTCACCTATAAGATGGCTGGCTGGTGCAAATGGGCTGGCTCATGCGAACCAACACGAAATGTCGGCAGCACAGAGTACAGACACCCATCCCCTCATTCAGGCATAGTTTCAGCTTCAGAAAATAACGAATTAATGTATGCAAAACATGCAGGCCGCCAGGCACACACACACACACACATAAACACATAAACACCCATTCGTTCATGCAGATGGGTGCTTAGCACCCCTCCCACCACAGCACAGCACAGCACAGCACCAAAAAGACCCACAGCACAGCCCAGCCACACAAAGATATGTATGTGTATATGTGGACACACAACACGCACGAGTGACGTCCATCCAGTGACTGACACGTATGTCTGTACGTGTCTGTCCACACGGGTGGGTCAACCGACGCGATGTATCTGAGCACAGGTAGTTACTGACATCAACTTAACACACACAGCACGCACACACAGATGGCCTCCCTCACGGCATGTTGACCTGCTCCACCCCAGCCACACTCATGAGTTCAATCTCGTAGCGCACCACATGCAGCACCTCGAGCTCATCGGCCACGAAGGTCCCGTTGCCACCGAACACACCGTCGCCGTACGCATCCCTCACGCCCACATAGCCCGCAGGGACGCGGTCTTTGGTAATGTACTGGAGACACCTGCGGATGTCGGCAGCCGGGCGGTCTTGGCCGGAGGGGCGGTCAAGGCCCCCGTAGCCGAGCCACAGGCGCCCCCCCACCACCACATTAGCACCCACACCCGAAGCTTTCCTCCCCGCCACCTCGATGTACCTCCGGCGCTCGTCGACGGGGATCTTGGTCGCATTCGAAAAGTGCCCGGCCAGCGAGAAGTGCCAGGTCTCTCCGGACCAGTACACCCTGTAGTCTTCGGGCACGGCGGGGAGGTAGAGGCCGGTCCCGACGAAGGCGCCAAAGACGTAATCGTCCTTGCGGATGAGAAACACCAGGCCGTCCTTGGTGTTGACCCTTCGCAGCATGTTGCTGTAGCTGCTCCCGTGCACAGACGACCTACAGGTCAGTCACAGTCACACAGACACACACACAGCTGGTCAATGCCTCCTCTGGTCGATGTGTGTGTGCGTGTTGCCTGGCTGCCTACACAGATCACATCACATGTGCTTGTGCACACCTGTAGACCGATTCGACGCGCGTTTCGTTGACCAGCAGGCGACGCAGGTCGTCATACTCCGACTGCGACAGGGAGGAGCCAACCGGCACACGGTCAACTGCCTGCACACGACGAACCTACAGGCAAGGCAAGGCAAGGCAAGGCAAGGCCAATCAACACACACGTGAGCGCCATTTGAAGGGGGGAGTGCACCACAGCAAGATCTGGCCAGATCACGGGTGTGTGCGCTTGCATGGTACACACCTGTGGACGACACGCCACGAAGGGGGTGAGGGTAAGGACGAGGGTGAGGGAGAAGGCCAACAGCATGGTGATCTCACGCACAGTCACCATGTCGCGTCGAGGGAGGAAGGACGGCTGACGAGTGAGGTAAGTGATGCGGAGGGGCTGAATATCAGAGATCTGGCCTTCACGCGTGGCAGGGGGTGAGGAGGAAGCCGGAAGGGATGGGAGGGGAGAGTGAGGACAGTTTCAAGCGCAGAGCCCTAAGCGTAAAACTTTGTGCCTTCTGTGAAACGCTTTATGCTGCAGCCTAGGCAAGATAACCAACCAACCAACACAGCCGCCATGTCTGCTGCTGCGTGTGTGTTTGCCCTTCTCCTCGCATGCCCTGCCTCCCTCGTGAGCGTGTCAGCTCAGGACCTCAGTGCCGTCCAGCAGAACTATAAAGGGGCCTTCGATGGCAAAGTAAGCACAGATCTGGCTCATCATGGGCAACCGCAACCAACACGCGGCACAAGAGATGCACGCACTGGTATGTGCTTCCTTTCATCAGCTGCAGTTTGGCTCTTCCCCCTGCCTGCTTGTGGTCGACCTCGTCAACGCATACCTGTAACTTGCACTCTCTCTCTTCCCCTCTCTCGGTGTCACTCACTCCCCGTCTGCCTGTCTGTCTGTCTGTTTACGTCCGTGCAGTCGAGAGGGTTCGCCTTTGTATGCGGCAGAGGGCGGCAAACAGGCCCTAGCAGGCACAGAGCGGCTGCTGACATCGGCCAGGCAGCTGGGCATCCCCGTCGTCTTCACGGCCGTCAAGTACGCCAAGAAGGCAAACGGCAAAGACGCTGGCGTCTGGTGGCGCAAGGTGCCCGCACTATCGGCTTTCGTCGAAGGACAGGTGGGCACACACACACACGCATTTCTTATTAGATGGATACCAGATTAGATACCAGATTAGATGGACACGACCACGATTGTCCTATTTAGAGTAGATGTGAGCTTTCTTTTTGAATGCGTGTGTGCAGGAGCTGGCCGAGTTCCCGCCCTCCCTCACTCCGCTGCCGAGTGAGGTCGTGTTGACCAAGCAGTACGCCTCGAGCTACTTCGGGACGTCGCTGGCCAGCATGCTCACCGCCATGAAGGTCGACACGGTCGTCATCGCAGGCGTCAGCACCTCTGGATGGTCAGTCAGCCAGCCAGGCGGGCAGGCAGCCGACATGGCTCAGACAGACCAAGCTTGCACCCCTCCCTCTGTGTCGGTCTATGTGTCTTTGTAGCATCCGTGCGACAGCGCTCGACACTCTTCAGAGCGGCTTTGTTCCAGTGGTGGTGCGTGATGCGGTCGGCGACCGGCGCCCAGAGGTGCACGAGGCCAATCTGTTCGACATACAGGCCAAGTACGGGGAGGTTCGCATGGCTGATCAAGTGCTGGCGTACTTCGAACAGGTGGCCGGCACCAAGAAGGCGCCGCCCACACGAGCAGAGGAGCTGTGAGCGGCCGACGTGGTATGAGCGGTGACTACACGCCATGTATGTATGTGCATGTGTGAGGAATACATTTATGTCCGCGCTGCGTTGATGAGAGCGAATCGAGCAGAGTGGCGAATCAGTCAGAGAGTGCATAGAGAGTGCATGGCCTGAGTGAGGGGGAAGACGTTTGTCCTGCCTATGAGTGCGAGTCAGTGATAGTGCTTCGAAGACAGGTCACAGGCAAGCATTTGGAGGAGAGAGGATGCATGTACATGTATTCATCTGTGAGTGAGTCATAAGACAGATGCCCTTTTTCTGGCCATTGTCTGTCGGCCAACTTTATTAGTACATCTCGAACAGCGTGTTTTGAGTGGCTCTGCGTTTGTCGTAACGGCCCCTACGACTTACAGCCACCCACATGCGCATATGAATCATCATACACCATATTCGGCTTGACCGACAAGCAAACACAGGCAAGTATCAGCCTTGAAAACTACACACTACAAATGACGACACAACTAATCTACACCTGCATGCCTGAAGCACTCGAACGGACAAGTGAGCATGTACGGTTAAGCGCCACGCCAAGTAAGGCATCAACATCGTCCCGAGATGGCAGAATCCACGCATGGCCATCCTCCTGCCTCCTCACAAATGCCTTCTCTCCCCGCCCCCCACCCCCTCGCAGCCACACTGACTTGATCTCCATCGACCGCATATCGGGATCGCTGAAGAGGTCGGCCGCGCCCGGCAGCGGGTTGCCGACTAGAGGCGGCCATACCTCAGTTTCCATCCACTGCTGCCGGCGATCTTTATAGTCGATGAAGGGCTCGTCCTTTCCTGGCGGTAAGGCGTCGCCGCGGACACACTTGTAGCCCCACACATCGCTCAGCTTGCCATCGTTCTCCACCACGAAGACAAGAAAGTCATATTTGTCCTCGAAGGCTGCATCAGGCTCAGGCTGATAGAAGAAGACAGTTCGAGGATCCCATATGGATCCTTCAGAGGGAGATTCGCTCCTATCGACAAACGCCTTGACGACATCTTCAGTGCTTCTCCACTCCGAGCTGAAGTACCCGCCAAATTTGCAGCCCATCTGCTGTTTGTCGTATTTCACCGGTATCACGAGAGAACGGGGAAGAACGTTGCCGACCTGCGGTGGGACCTCGTCAGCATCGCGGGGGCCATGGTGGGTCAGCCTCTCTATTTCGCCTTGCAGCAATCGTAGGAGCACCGCCGCTGCACACGGTCCGACCCACTGGCGTCCCTCCTCAGCATGATTGAGCATCCGCAGGCTGCTGGCAACAGCATTCAGCCCCTCACAAAACGACTCGCCAGCTTCCTCCTTCAAAGCGTCCCATTGCGCCAGCCTCGTGCACATACCGGCCAGATAGCAAGGAGGCACTAAGTATGTTCTCTGCCGCGTCAGTCGTCCTGGCCGTTTATATGAGGTCCTTTCTTCGTCAAACACATTCAAGAGTGCCGTCCAGTTGCCGATGTCAGGAACTGACCAGCCGAAGGTCGCTTCTCCTTCCATAGCCGTAGCCAGAAAATCGCATAATACCTCAATCGCTCCAAATATAATCGATGGATTGACACGAGAGACGTTGCCGACTTTGGCCTCCAGAGAGCCACCGTGCTGACGCATTTCCCACACTAGTCCAGGAGATCGCCCGGCCCAGCAAATCGTTCCACGAGTCACATTGCTGTCCAGAAGGTGCTCCAGATCCTTTTCCTCGATCAAAGGCAGCTCTGGCCGAAGCAGGTCACGCCACTTCCGGAACATTGGATCGAGGAAGGAAAGAAAATCGCCGCTGACAGTGGTCGCATTGTTGCGCTCAGTAAAGACGAAGTGCCGGTCACGACGATTAAGGAAATTGCACTTGAGGTATTCACCCACTTCGCCCTCGGCTTTACAGCGCTCGCCGCCCTCCAGAGTCGCAAAGCGGTGAAGATCGTCGATAAGCAGCAGACACGAACGATAGCCAAGCCACTCACGCGCGGTGCGTTTGCTGATGGATGCGTGCCTGAGCCACATCGTAAAGTTCAGCTTGTCGACGTCCACATTGGCTGCCCGTGCGACCCTTGCTCGCGCCTCGTCGGTCGCCGCCGCCCACGCCAGCCGCAGATTGAGTGAGTCGAACAACGGCGTAGAGGCGCCTTCGGTGTCTAAGTGATACTCGGTCTCGTCACCAAAAGAGATGAAGATGGCGGGGATGCCCTCATGCCGCAGCTTCTTGGACAGCTCTTTCAGCATCCTGGTCTTGCCAGCCCCTTGGAAGCCGACAAATGACATTGGCATCACTCGCGAGCTCGACGAGTCCATCCTCCCGTACTCGCGCAGCAGCAGCGAATAGGCCTTCTCGACATAGTCGCTCCCAATGAACACCTCAGGCTCTGTCGTCAAGTCCACTCGAGGGAGCGGCACGTCAGCAGTGGGCAACAGATCATCCACTGTCAGCTCCACGCGACCTGCAGACGAAAGTGACACACCAGACAAGATGAATCTGCTGCCTGGTCGTCAATGGGGAGATGAACGTGTCACGAACCGTCTGCTTCTTGTGGCCTTTTGTGTGCCTGCTGGTCTTGTGTCTCGAACTCCTGTGGCCTCTTCATGGCTGTCACGGGATGTGCTTCCGCGATGAATCAAACCGCGCGGCGAGATGAAAAGCGATGAACCTGCAGAAAGGAAGTGCGAGCTTCTCTATTAGCTCGCCGAGGGAAGGGGGCCTGAGTGAACGGGGATGGTTCGGTTTCGTGCTTAGCGGCTGATACCAGTGAGAAGCTTGAACAGAAATACCGTTCGTGGTGGATAGATCACTCCCACTCATCCATCTGTCGGCATGAGTTCAAGCACCGACAGCCGCACCGAATGGTGGCGCAAACACGCGCCGCAGACCGAGGTAACGCAGCACACACCATACAGACACGCATGGATGCATCCACAAGCCACCATCCACACGGGCATGTGTGTGTGTGCGTGCGTGCGTGTGTGTGTGTTTGCCTGCATGTTGCTGCACTCATCATTGATCAATCAATCAGGGCGAGTTGATAGTTCACAAGGCCAAGATCCGGGAGCTCAAGCACGCCCTCATGCAGACCCACCTGCCGCTCCACTCGTCCAGGGATGCAAACAAATGGGACGCCATCGCCGACGAGTACGCCGTCCCCGTGCGCGTCCTGGTCATCACTGGGCCGCCTGGGTGCGGCAAGGAGACCACTCTGCGGGTGCTGTGCAGCGAGATGGGCATGGCCGTCAAGGATTGGGTCGACATGCCCACTGGCGCCAGTGGCTCGTCGTCGCACTTCTCGCGAGGCAGTGAGGACGACGGCTTCAGTCGCGAGGAGGGCTTCGAGCATGGCGGGCTGGGCACACAGTTCCTGTCCTTCTTGCAACAGGCGCAGCGGTACGGGTGGATGGATTCGTCAGAGGGAAGGAGAGAGGGTGGCAGTGAAGTGACAGGTGCGTGCGTGTGTCGGTGTTCATGTTGGTGTGTCAGGTTCCCCCGCATCCCCACCGCCTCCAAGGCGCCGCCCAAGAAGACCCCCTCCCAGGGCTCCTCAGTCGACGCCAGCCGGGCCGCCAAGCTCTCCCAACCATCGGTACTGCCGTCCATGCCGGCCAAACGACCACCTGTAGGCGCAGCGCAACAGCAATGCGGGCCACCCCCTCTCCCTCCCCTTTTGTCTGCATCCATCCCATCGGTCCTGTGTGTGGTGTTGCATGCAATGCAGCAGCGGATGTTCCAGCCGCGCATGGCACAGAGGAAGCCCGCCAAGCCACCCGGCCCCTCCCAGCCGTCATCGCAGCAGCAGGCTGGCCTTGGCCCCCCCCAGACGGCCAAGGCGCCACCACCACCGCCACCACCACCACCGCCGCCGCCCGCTCCCAGCAACAAAGCGGACAAGAAGGGGGCCGCACTGATATCGGCACCGGAGGATGGCGGCCATGGCGACGACACGACGGCCATGCCGCACGTGACGCTCATCAAGGACTTTCCCTACTCGCTTGTCGACCACTCGCCCGGCTTCGTCGAAAAGATGCAGGCCGCCCTCCAGCAGTGTCTGCGGCAGCCCGTCCCCACCAAGCAGCTCGTGACTCGCAAGCCCAAACAGCCCCGCGTGCAGCAGCCGACGTCGCCCACAGACAGCGACGAGACCGAGGTCATTCCCATCCCCGACCCTGACGAGGAAATCGTAGCCGTGGGAGGCGGTGAGGTCGGTCTGCAGGAGGCGCCGGAGCCGGTGGTGCGTCGCCATGTGAACCTGCTGGTGTTCATCCTGACCGAGTCGGCGCGCGACCGGATGCTCATCAACAAGGTGCTGCCGCCCACGCTGTTCAGTACATCGTCGTTTCACCGCAGTGCGTCGGGTGGGTCGGGCTTCGGGCGGGGGAGGGCGGCGGCGAGCTACCAGCAGCAGCAGACGGCCGACAGTGACGCGCCGTCTCAGATACAGAAGATCAGGTGAGATGGATGGATGGATGAATAGATGGATGTGCCACATGTGTCATCGGAATGGTGGCTCTGTGTCTGCGTCTGTGTCTGTGTCTGTGTAGCTTCAATGGCATCCCTCCGGTGACGATGAAGCGTGCGCTGACCGCCATACTCACCGAGGAGGGCATCCCGTCCACCGCCGTCGACACAGAACTCATCGTGGTCAGCCACCATCACACACACCACACACAGACACACAGTGGATCCCTCTCTCTGTCTGTCTGTAGGATGGCTGCAACGGCGACCTGTTGAATGCGATCAACTCCATCGAGATGGTCTGCATCGGCGCCCACGAGCCACTGGCGCCGCCAACAGCAGCCAAGGGCGGCCGGTCGCGCGCCAAGAGCAAAGCCAAGGCCAAGGCCAAGGCGGCCGCGCGCAAGAGTGAGGGCCTGGGCGTCGTGGCGGCCACGCAGCGTGACACCAAGTGGGGGCTCTTCCACGCACTGGGCAAGTTCCTCTACAACAAGCGCATCCCGCCCGATCCTTCCAACACCGAGGACAGCGACGAGGTGGCCGCCCAGCCACAGCCACAGCCCCAGCCGTCTGCGTCGGCCTCCCAGGCCTCCATTCAGCTGCCACTGATCATGCACCAGCAGCAACAGCACCAGCCGAAGGGCAACAACGGCAAGCGAAGCGCCCACGACGACCAGGAGGATGACATCGACGACATACTCGACGACTTTGACGACGCGCAGCCGTCCAAACGCCCCAAGGTGGAGGAGGCCATCGACCTCACTGACGAGCACCAGGACATGCCCATGGCCACATCGGCCGCCATGTCGGCTGCACCGTCCAAGTGGAAGGCTCTCAAGGGGCGCGCCAAGGCCAAGGGCAAGGCCAAGGGCAAAGCTGCTGGTGGTGGTGGGCGGGGCAAGGGCAAGACTGGCAGCAAGGAGAAGGAGGCGGTGCAGCTGCCGTATGAGTTGCTGTGCGACAAGACCAAGCGGCCGCGGCTGTACTTCTCGCCGGAGGAGGTCCTCGAGAGCACTGCGTGTGAGGGGGACGCCTTCGTCGAGTGGATCCAGGAGAACTACCCACTCGTAGGCCGAGACGAAAATATGACAGCAAGCATTCCTTGTCTCAGACGTTTCAGTCATTTCCGTCTGCCTGTCTGTCTTTGTGTGTGACCGATCAGTTCTATGGTGACATAGAGGACATCAGCAACTGTGCCAGAGAGGTGACGCAAACACGGGTCCGGCCCGGAGCCAGAAGAGGACGCGCAAACACATCTTGCTTCTCAAAGTGTGTGTAAGGTTGCCTGTGCGTGTGTGTGTGTGTTCCGTCAGATAGCTGAGGCGGACGGCCTGTACGGTCAGTGGCGAGGCGGGGAGGCGGAGCAAGACCACGTAAGTCAGCCACGCCGCCACACAAAGGCCGTCCATCCATCCATCCATCCATTCATTCGGCCATTCATGTGTGTTTGTGTGCAGTCAGCCGCCGTGTCGAGTGAGTTGAGTCGCTTCGGGAGCATCATTATGAGCAGGGGGGTGAGTGGGGCGGTGCGGTCGACCTACTACGCCGTCATTGTGGGCCGGGCAGTGCTTGACGCCAACCTGCACCCCACACAGCCGCCCAAAGGCAGACACAGACAGGCAGCAGAGGATGGCGAGTTTGAGGGCTTTGGGGGCGGCGGAGGGGGGGCGGGGTCGGGGCTGCACCAGCACAAGAAGTGTCCCCGCAAAGAGGTCATCGACGACTGCATCAAGCGCAAAGGGGACATCAAAGGCCACGTCACACGTAAGCATCCTTCGACAGATAGAGGCACAGCGAGAGGGACGACAGACAGACAGACAGACAGACAGACGTGTGCGCGCGCGATGGCGTGTTTGTTCTTGTGTGTGTGAAGGTTTCATTGTGGATGCGCTGAGCCGCGCTGGCCGAGAGCAGCCCGACCAGCAGCAGCAGTTGGTGCCCTGGAACTGGAGCCCTCTGCGCATCGACATGGTCGTGACGGACGTGCTGCCATACCTTCACCGGGTCATGGAGGCCACACAAGGTGTGTGAGTGAATGGATAGATCAGCAGACACACACACACACTGTGGTGTACGTGGGGTGGCGCACTCACTCTCTCATCCATATGTGTGTTGGTTGGTCGACCGCTGCCTACAGGGACGTACTTGCCATTGCCCTGCGACTTTCTCACCAGTGTGGTCGAGGCCAACGACCTGCCCATCGACCCATCGCACTACACAATGCCCCCTCCCCCTCCCCCTCCCCCGTCCTCCACACACGGTGGCGGTGGCGGCAAAGGATTCATCGGCATGCCGCCGCCCAACAAGACCAACAAGGGCCGCCCACCTGCAAACATACACTCACAGCAACAGCCGGCAGCAGCAGCAGCAGCCCCGGACGACGCCGATCTGGACGCCTTGCTGGACGACATTGACAACATAGTAGAGGGGGACGATATCGAGGAGGTCTGATGGAGGGAGGGGCGGGCAGAGGGGAGAGATACAGGCAGACAGACAGACAGAGAGGCATCTTGGTAGCTGTGACCAGCGGGGCCGAGGAGGGCGGAGAGAGAGCCTGTGTGTATGGTAGATCTAGCCCATTGATTTGATTGCAGAAACACTTGCATGGCATGGAATATCTACTTTGTGTGTGCGAGTGTCTATGAGGGTGACTCTCCATCGCTCGGCGTTTCGGCTGGCCGGCCGCCGATTGACAGATGCGATGCGATGCAGATCAGGGACTTTTACAGACAGACCGACCTCAAACCCTCTCAGTGAATGCAGTCATCTGACCCACCACTTCCCCGACGACGCCCTCCTGTGGGTCAGATGGGCTCTCGAGGGCAATTTACGTGGCCCGCGTCGCCCACTCAGCCCCCCGGCCTTGCCAGAGGCATCATAGGTGTGCATCTGACACCCGATATCACTGCAAATGACGGCGGGAGAAACTCAAGCTCGCAAATGGATCAGGGAGAGACGGCGAAAATCTGTAGACGCTGTCTGCGTCTGCCGTCTGTTGACATCCGTTGAGCCTAATCCGATCGCAATCAGTCGATGTTCGTCGATTCGAGATTGTCGAGACACCGTGTCTTCCGCGTCGTCCACCCCTTCCACCATTCGGAGCGTTGATTGGAGGTACTTACGTTGAGTGAGAATGGCGACCACCAGTGAGGGTCCCTCTATGACCACCGGCGAGGCCGTCAATCCCGCCGAGCTGACGAGCAACCCCACGATGGCGACTGACACGCACCCCATCGGTGCAGGAGGTGCCGAACTTGCCCAGGGCGGCCACACAGGCTCTGGGCTGACCAACGGGGAGGTCCAGCAGCCCAAGGGCAGCGACCAGCAGTCAGCCGGGGTCGGTGTGGACGGCGAGCAGCGGCCTTCTGCCTTTGGGTCATCGGCTGCTGCAGGCATGTCGTTCTTCCCCCCGCTGCCCTTCCTGCCCCACTACACGGCCACGGCCGCTGCTGGGGAGTACTCGAACGGAGCGGCGGCAGGGCTGCCGAGCTTCTACCCTCCCCCTCCCCTGCAGCCGCTCACGCTACCCCTCCCCAATGGGGACGCCACCAGCAGCCAGACGGGAGCAGCACTCAGCAGCAGCAGCGGCGCGGCCAAGCGCACCGCGGCTGCGTCGCGCGTCAAGGTGGCGGGAGTTGGTGCTATGGGGGGTGTGGGGGGTGTGAGTGAGAAGGACCGCCGCCGTCTGCAGATGGCCATCCAGAACGAGGACACCTACGCGCAGATCCTGGCTCGTGTGCTGCTGCGTCAGCTCAAGGAGAAGATGCCGGGCGGCAACCCCCAGCAGCTGCGCATATCCCTCAAGGGCAAACCCGACCGCTTTGTCGTCAAGTCCGACGACCGCCCCGCCGCGGCCTTCGCCATCCACACGGGCGTCACGAACGCGCTGCAGCAGGCCATCGACGAGCGCAACACCCGTGCGGCCGCGCTGGAGCTGCCGCCGTGGGACAACTACCAGTCGATTCTGGCGGTGTCAGCCGACGAAAACGAGCGCAAGAGTGAGGGCGAGGAGGGCGTGGGCGACCCCCTGGCCGGCGACATGTCGCTCTGCCACGGGCTGGAGGAGATCAGCGGCACCGCCAACGGCGAGGGGGCGGGCGACGCCATCTACCCCTTCTTGCTGCCTGTGGGCAGCAACACCGGTGCGGGCGAGGCCGCTGGTGGTGGGCAGGGGGGGAGGAACGGCAGCTTGTATGTGAGCGAGACCGAGACGGCCGCCATCCGCACCATGATTCAGGAGATCTCAGGCCGCCTGAGTTCGCTGCTGCCGCCCAGCCCGTCGAGCTCGCCCCGCCTCGTCATGAAACTCCTCTGGGAGAGCGAGACCCAGTCGCTCATCGCCCAGTACGGCTTCAAGGGCGTCACGGCCGCCGGTCAGCCATTCCGCCTCACCAGGGCCGCAGAGGTGCCCCGGGTGATGCGCCAGATCATCACGACCCGCAACCAGCTGGCGCAGCGGCTGGGGCAGCCGCTCATTGAGGGCTTTGACGGCATCCTGGACCAGTTCACCCTCGCCATGAGCGCTCCCAGTGTCACCCATCCCCTCACCCACCACACCACCGGGGGCAGTGGCGGGGGCACACGGGGCCGCAGGGGGTCAAAGGGCGGCGGGGGGCTGTCGCGGGGGCACAGGCAATTCCCGGCTGGCGCTGTGTGTGGGTACCCGTCGGAGGGCGGGGGTCTGTTTGAGTCGCTGATGGATTTCCACGCCGACATGCCGCTGAAGGTGGAGCAGATTCACATGGTGGCGGCCACGCTGCTCAAGCAGCTCGAGAAGCACTACGTGGCCGTGCAGCGGCGGAGGGGCGATGCTGGCGCCATGTTCCCCTTTGGCATCACCTGGGACCCTGTGTAAGCCAAAAGCCAAGCCAACAAACCGCACACATGCACTCACACACACACAGGACACAGAGGGGGGAGTGGTTTATGTGTGTTCTGCTGTGTGTGGATGTGTGTGTGGTTCATTCAGTCGTTGTAGAGTTCGTTGGAAGGTTGGCCACGGCCACTCACGGAAGCACTGCGAGAAGCGCGTGTCGCGCAACGGAGGCGGCGACGGACTGAGAGAGGCCATACAGGCAACACACACACACACACACAGAGGGCAAATACCAGCAACACCATGCCCTCAGCCCCTCTCACCCTCTCTCTCTCTCTCTCTGTGTGTGTGTGTGTGCGTGTGTGTGTGTGTGTCTTGTGACTGTCCTTTATTCAGTATGCCATAGACAACCGCAACGCGTGGGCGCGCACCGAGGGGCTGCCTGAGGTGACGGGGTACGAGGACATTCTGCAGACCGACAACGCCACTCTGCTGCTGTCCGCCGACCACCGTGACTTCGACAGCCACCTGCTCACGCACCAGCAGGCCCACACCAGCCACTCGGTCGGGAGGGACCGGCCGGCCGACCTGCTCGCCCGTATCAAGCAGGACACCGATCAGGATTTCATGCTCATGAACACCGCCGATGGCAGCAGCTACGGGGCCGCCGCTGCTGCTGCTGGCTATGGCGACACGGACCTCATGCAGATGCACCACACACCCACCGGACACGGCCAGGGGGGAGGCAGGAAGCGCAAGAACTCCGGCGCCGGCAGCGATGCCGATAAGCCGGGCGGCAAGAAGGCCAAGCGCACCACCAAGAAGCAGCAGCAGCAGCAGCAGATGGCAGCAGAGGCCTTCGAGGCACCAACACACAACGACCAGCAGCAGCAGGAGCAGCAGCAGCAGCAGGTCATCGACAACATGCCCGACGTGGCCATGAAGCAGCCAGAGGAGGAAGCAGCACCGGCCGACATCGACCCGGTGGCCGTGGACGTCAGTGCCGCTGCTGCTGCTGCTGCTGGTGGTGAGCAGGAGGCCGCATGAATGGATGGATCGATGGCTGGATGGATGGCCGACTAGCTAGATACTACCCACCTACCTACTGAGTGGATGTGTGTGTGTGTGTATGTGTAATGGAACACACCAACGACCGACCGATCGACCGACCCAAGGATGCATCCGTGGAGACGGACCTCTATCTGTCGATCTTTCTTTTTGCGTTTGAAGCACTCGCATGGGCAGTCGGTCGCGCAGTAAGCACTTGTAAGGTCACTTTCATCATGACTCAACGCGCACACACAGAGGGAGGGAGGGAGGGAGGGAGGGATTCGGGGAGAGAGGGATGGGTTTCTCACAATGCCCCCTCACTTCACGAACCCACCATGTACACTTACTTGTACGCCATCCATCCATCCATGTGTATCAGTGTGTGCGCGTTGGCTGTGGTTCTCCATGGCAAGAGTAAAGGGAGAGAGAGAGGGAGAGAGAGAGATGACTGGAGGGGGAGGGAGAGGGAGAGGGGGAGGGGTGGTTGGCTGCAGCTACGGTAGGCGGTCACCCCCCACCTGTGACCCTGCATGCATGTAGTTCATGTCACGTGTGGTCGGTTGGTTCTTCGTAGAGAGACCCGTAACTGACTGACTGACGACTCGACTCACTCATCGCCTTCAGGCAAGAAGTGAATGCAATGCACTCGTTCGTTCCGCTGCACAATACCCCCACCCGGCACCCACGCCACACAATGTCTCTCTCCATCTGTCTGTCTGTCTTATCGGTCAAAGCGCGTCAACACATACAGAGTAGACGGCACATTCTCATACAGAGCAGCCACAACCGTCCCCTCTCTCAGTTCCTTGTCCGTGCCCCTCTGAAATATCTGCAGCCACTCGCCACTCAGCCGCCTACACCGCACATGTGCCCACACACCGCCGGCAGCCATGCCCTCCCTCCCACACACACTGCAATCCTTCACGTCAGCTGAGGGGCAATCCACACGCTGTCCCCCCACCCACTGGTGCGCCTTGATCCACTTGATCTTCGCACATCTCCCGGCCGTCTCGCATCGATTGACGCCGTGTTTGTAAGGGTGTGATGGGGACTCGTCGGCCTCGGCTTGGCGAGTGAGGTCGGAGCTGTATAGGTAGCTCATGTGGCCTCCGAGGGAGTGGCAGACGGCGATGCAGTCGGCGGCCGAGAGAGAGAGGGGGGCGGTCGGTGTCTTGATGCAGCGACGGTCTCTGAAGGGCACGTTATTGATGTTGTCCTCCTTGCTCAGGGAACATACGCAGCACCTGAACTCACAGACACATCCACACACAAGGGATGGAAGGATGGATGGATGGATGTCTCTAGTCAGCTTCACTCGGGAAAGAGCTCCTTCTGCCCTGATGTGCTCTTGATCTTTCGGTAGGCCTCGCTCTTTTGGAAGGTACCCCATGGCTCAACGGCGATGCCCTTTGTGGCCGGCAGTGTCGTGTTCTCAAAGCCAGGCGAAGAGGACCAGGGTTCGTAGTCACTGGGGATGAATATCCGGGGGTCCACCTTAATCACCTTTGTTGGCTCTTCTGCATGACACACAGAAACACACAGAGACACAGACAAACGTCTGTCTACCCACCCCAACCCCCCCACCCTTTGTCTCCGTCACGAGCACATCCAACGGCACAAAGTCCTTCCTGAGATGACCCGCATTCATGGCCACATAGCCGTCGTAGCACCAGCCCACATCTTGACAGCTCCTGTCGACGTAGAAGGCGTATTGCGCCATGTGTCGCTTCGTGCTGCACACGCCATTGCACGTCTCGGCAGCAGCAGAAGGCGGCAGGAAGGTGCAGGAGCGGTGGGCGGGACGGGCTTGTCCTCCCTCAGCTCTCGACTGGCAGTGGCAGCAGCTGCGTACATGCCAGTGGATGGACAGAACAGAAAAGGCTCGAAAGTGGCCATCAGGGAGGGGAGGATAGTAGGGGTGCCTAGGTCCCTTACCCGGTGTATTCGGATTCGTTGTCGTCAGTGAGGGGTTTGACAGTGACTTGCCTGGCCGATTTGGCATGATCGACGCTCTGCAGGCGTACTACATCCTCCTTTTGCTGAGGCCTGATTGCATATAATTAGAGACGTGTGAGCAGAGAGGAGAGCACGTGCCGCGTCGCACATGCGTGGCTGCCGCTCACCGCGGCGTTGGGGATACGACGGGGCCGCTGCAGTGAAGTGCAACCATTCATCCACCCCCACCAAGCACAGACAAAGCCTCTGACAAGTTGGCCCGGTCTCCACTTCTGTGTGCGGGTACAGAGGCCACCTTACCTGCCCGGTTTGTTCGCTGACGCTCGATTGGACACGGCCAGCAGAGGCAGGCTGCACACCAGCAGGATTTGCAATGCCATCGATGACTCACGGAACCACGACCAACTCGAGCTCGCACAACTTCCCCCACGCCCCCCAGTCTGCATGCCAGTGTCGTCTCCCCCGAGATGCATTTGTTCGCAGTAGTCTCCCTTGTCGTGGCTGCTGCCACGGCCACCAAGATGACCATGCGGCATGGCGTCCTCTCCTCCATGAGAAACGCCCCCTCGGCGGTGCGCCTCACCCGAATGGTGCTCCGCGGCCTCTCAGGTGCATGAGGCCGGTGGTGTGTAGTCTGCAGGCAGAAACATGACTGCGTCTCTCTGCCCTTCTGCTTTGCAATGTTTTGCAATGCACTGCACTGCAGGGCGAGACCGACTCCGCCAGCCAGTGTGCCGCCAGCTGCCGAGATTGAGGAGTCATCCGAATCTGAGCCGTGGACGGGTGGGTCTGTGCCAGGCCCCAACGGTGAGGATGACATTGACGACGACGAGACTGAGGAGGAGGAGGAAATGTCTGTGCAAGATGAGGTACATATGTAAAGGGTGGCACCGCATGGGTAGACAGACAGACAGACAGACAGACAGCCAGACCATTCTCGAATACATGCACCGCTGCACACAGGGCAGGGCATGCAGCCGATGCTGCACGCCGCGCACTTTTGTTCATTCACGTTGGATGATGGGTACAGGAGGACGAGGAGCTCGAGAGGGATCTCAGAGCCATCGCCGCAAAGAAGCAGACGCCAATCGACGTCAGCAAGCAGCAGTTTGGGGCAAACATGTATGAATTCAACAAGGACATCGACGTGCCGCCGGACGCCGAGCGGGAAAACCCCTCTATGGAGGAGGACGGTGTGTGTGTGCGAGATGATACTCATGAGACAGGCAGGACTTCTTCTTCCATCCACTGCGCTGGTTTCGTGTGCAGAGGTGTTTCCGTACGTGAGCAAGAGAATGGATCCGCTGCTCACCCTTCGGACCTACGATGTCACCGTGGTGCCGTGGGACGTTTTCCTGCAGAGCGGCTCGTCGCAGTGGCTGAGAGACGCCGAAGAGCAGGGAACCCGGCAAGAGAGCTTCTACCCTATGTGAGGGCGTGCGTGTGTGCATCCACACCATAAGGCATCCATGTCTCCCTCCCTCTCTCTCTCTTTGTAGGTGTTGCGTGTGCTCCTCTGCCGCCAAGGCGGAAGACATCGACTTGCCCAACACCAGATGCATCAAGGTGGGCAGACACCGATGATGTCGCACCACTGTGGATCGACTTCACTGGTTGATCGGGCCGCATACCTCGCAGGTAGGGCCCTACATTCCGCCGCCCCCCTCCGGCCCCAGGCCCCGCATGTTTGGTCAAACCGACTGCCTCGTCGTCTTCGACAAGCAGGACCACCTCTGGGCGATCTTTTACGGCAGTGTGGATGATGAGTTGGACCCGCAACACGAAATTCCTGGCGTGCGTGTTGCGGAGAGATCGGCATGTGAAAGGGTGGAGCAGTGCAACAAGAAGAACGTGCATCTGGCGGTGAGAAAGGCGGAGAGTGGGGTCTGGACAAAGTGCTCAAAATCGGACCCGCCCGGCTCTTGTGGCTTGTGCTCGGGGAAAGAGCTGCCATCCCATATGGGCTTCATCCGGTGTGAGGAGGTCAGTGAAGAGACAGAGAGAGAGAGAGAGAGAGAGATAAGTGTCTGTTTGTATGCAGGTCGATGAGCCTCTGCTGGAGATTCTGAGGCATGGGAGCAATATGGGGCTGACTCCAGAGGTTGGGGACCTCGCCGCCGTCAGGTATTCGCTAGTCAGGGAGAATATCTATGTGCTGACCCAATTCGACGAACACATGCTTCACCGCACGAGCTGATGCGTGGCACTGTTAGCTGAAATACGTACGGGACTCTTGGCACTCTCTTGGCCCCCGCTATGTCACTCTGCTGATGTGAATTGCTGGATACTCTCTGGTGTGTGAGCCTTCAAGACCTCATACATACGATGACATACACATACATGTGTTCGACGATATGTCTCTCTCCCTGCTCATAATATTGACACCTATACCAGCTGTGTAAGCACCCACACGCACTCGCTCTCCAAGTTGTACCGAAAGGCAACCACATCGTGGACATGGATGCCCCCTGACGGCGGCGGCGTGCCTGTGCGCTCATACAGCCGATATACGTCGTCCACCTGCCTCTGGCTTTGCAGCCGATCACATCTGACGTACCTGATCAAAGCTCATACATCCATGGGTTACATGGCAGAGACACAGACACGATGATCGTCTTGTCTCGCCCACCATTTTCCCTTGGGGTCTCTCTGCCCGCATAGGGGACATTCGATGAGGTCCCCCGGGTCTCTGCACCGCTGTCTGCCACTCTTGTCCAAGACGGGCATGGCGAGAAAATGCCTCATGCACCGACCGGCCGTCTCGCACTTGTTGAAAGGCTGGCCTGTCTGTGGGTCGTGCTTCCAATAGTGCTGCGGCTGTACTTGACCCGAGTGGTAGAACCACGTGTGGTCACTCCCAAAGGCAACACGACACACATGATAGCAGTCGCCGGTCTGCGAGGAGAACAAGCGCACGATGGAAAAGGGCATACACACATGCAGCTATCGGGCCTCTGTGTGCATACCCACCCGCCCCATAGGCGGTCCGCCGTCGAAAAGCCGCACCCCCGGGCCAGTCCTTCCCACCGGTGGGCCACTATGTTCATCGAAAGGGACAAACCTGGGCACCTTGACGCAGTGCCGCTCTTTCCAAGGGATCCTTGTGATGGCGTCTCCCGACCCCCCAATGCCCTGGTCTTCTCCCTCCGGGCTGTCAACGCACACGCAGCAGCTGATCGACCACACGCAAGTCACCACGAGCAATGTGTCTCTCTCTCAGGTGTCTGTCATATGCAAAGCCTGGGCACCTTGCGCCCACCCACTTTGGGAACGGCTCTCTGGCCATTGCTGTCTGGGCGTGTGAGAATGTCGTCAGCACTCTTCGGTGGTCTGGCGATCCCTCGAATGCGTCCCATCTCCTGACGATGACGTACACGCCATCCCCTCGCACCGTGTCATCAGGCGGTGGCCGCGGCGGAGGAAGGGTGTGCGGCTTGCGGGTGGGCGCTGGGGGTTCCTCTTTCCTGATCTCTGGTGTTGGAGTCGTCTGAGGCTCTTCTTCCGGCTTTTCTTGGTCATATATCGTGGCGCCTGGTGAGCTGGCATAAGCCATGTGGTCCATTTCTCTCGCATCAGCAAAGAGCCCGAGCCTGCAATATCATCAGAGATGTTGCAGCCTTCTCCCGTGCCGTGCCGGTGTCTCTGTCTGTCAAGCTCCCCACTTCTACCATTCCATGTCATCTGCCCTCTGGGGAAGTGAAGGTGAGGAGCTCGTGGCCCCGAGATGGGTCTCGTTCCAGTGGGAGTCATCCTCCCCCTCGTCGCCAGGCAGCACGTACACATCCTTCCTGCACGTCACAAGCACTCATTCGGACATGTCGCGCTGTGTGGGTAGTATCCTACTTGTTGTCTTCCTCTCCGGTGATGGGCTGACGAGCGCTTTGCCGTCTGCGGTGACTCCGGTGAGGCCTGATGACAGACAAACAGACAAACAGTGAGACACTCCATCAGGCGAGACTCAGTGTCGCAAGCCATCGATGCCCACGTTGCAGACAGAAGCCATGAGGCAAGGATAAGGCAGAACAGATTCCCCGCGGAGTCCATTGAAGGGAATCCCAAGGGGGACTGGGCTGCATGCAAGAGCTCTGGGCCCCCACCGCCCCCACCCCTCCCTTCCACCACGGGCAGCCACGGGTTCTGGTGACGGCGGGCGAGGACACGAGCCAGCATCTGTAAGACGGTCTCTCAGTATATGTCGGGGACTCAGGCCACGAGCCAGCAGCTGACGGTGCTCTCACCGATATACCGGCCACCCAAATGGTCGATGCCCGGCCGGCGCTCTGAAGTAAGATCAATCACGAGAGGTCGACGTCAAAGAAGTGTTGCTTACCTGCAGGGCCGCGAGGTGACGCCTGGTCCGGGAGCTTACTCGCCTGGTGAGCAATCGGCCTGTTGCGTCTCCATGGCATTGATGGCACGTCCGTCTGGACGATGGATGGTCGGATGGACGCATGCAGGAACGACCAAGCGCCGTCAGCCACATTGGGGCTTCGGCACGAGCAAGAGGGAGCCGTTCAAAGGTGGCCTTCCCCCAGGCCCTGGCACATACGACCTCACAATGCAGCCAAAGGTGTGTCTACTGACTGGCCGTTTTTTCGCTCCTTCTGGATATGCATCGCCTTCATTTCCCTCTCTCCTGGTGTCTTGGCGCACATGTTTGTCTCAAGACGCCCAAGTGGAGCATGAAGGCAAGACAGCAAGTGAAGCTGCCCCCGGGCAACACCGTTGGCCTACAAGTCACGCAGTTTGGGTGAGAAACACCAAGTACAGTACACGGGCGGGGCACAGACCGACCGCCCGGATACGCCTCTCGCCTGTCTGGTCAGGTACTAGAACCTGACTCGTGTGTGCGTTGTGCGTGTGTGGTGTGGTGGATGGAGTTTGTGTCCTCTGGCTCATAAACACAAGAGAAGCCCAAAATCGCTCAGGGGCGTGCAGTAGCGTGCAGTTAAGACACGAATGAATTGGTGCTGTCCATTCCATCAAAGACAGTAGTCCCCGCTTCATGCAAGTGTTTCTGCCAAAAGCACACACAGCCCGGAAGGGTAACCCTCCCGCCCCTCCGATCGATCTACACACAGGCTCTCTCTCCGCCCTCCTCGGCCCGATGCCAACAGTTACCAAATGTCTGTCTGTCTGTCTGCCTGGATCTTCCCCCTCTGCCCGCCCCTCCCTCCATCAGACCTCCTCGATATCGTCCCCCTCTACTATGTTGTCAATGTCGTCCAGCAGTGGCGAAACGGAGCAACACACGAGGAATCTCTCTGACACACAAACACACACACACACACACACAGACACACACAGAGAGAGAGAGAGGGGTCGGATGGTGTGAGTGTGTGTTGGAGGTGTGGGTGGGTGGGCGGATGTGTGAGCTTACGGATGTGCACTGAGGAAGGAAAACGAATCGGCTAGGAACTCATAGACCAACTTGATGTAGCAGGATGGTGAGCCAGCCGGCACTGTGGGGTCATGCATTGCATCTCACAGACACGTCGAGCGTCACACACATCTGCATCCCCTCCATCACCATCAATGGGTGTGTCCGTCCGTCCCTCACTACCGGCCTTCACTCGCTCAACACACGAGAGTCCAACGACTTAGTCTACGGCCAGCTAGTTGCCACACGCCACCTGTATATCGTCGGCCCCCATCACCTCACGCACCACCGCCACTGTCTGGGGAAACCTGGCGGCACCCTCCCTGCCGGGAACAGGAACCTCCGTCGTGCAGAGGACGGCATGGGCCTCGTTGAGGTGCTGGGGTTGGTCAATGGTGCTGTAGATGGTGATGTGGGTCTCGAACTTGTGGTGGGGTCGGTCGCCATGCAGCACTATGGTGCGGTCGACGCCTCCTGCTGCCGTCCAGTGTCTGGTGCTGATGGTGTGACAGCCCCAGATGGGCGGCTGCTGAGTGGCGAGCTGCTCCTGAAGGGAAAGCGAGATATGACAATGAGCGAGTGGGGAAGCTGGTGAGGCTCTTGTGCGACTGACCAGTCGGTTGAACCGCGTGGCATTGTTGAGCTGGTAGGCACACACAACAAGATGGTCCGCGACCGACAACCCTCCAAAGCGCATCCTGATCAGACACATCAATGGCAGTCAGAGCGGTGCAGCCAATGTGCTTATGTGCCACTGTGCTCATCCAACACAGCATATTCATAACCTTCGAACAGTCATATACACACGCAACCAAATGACCCATTGCCCATAGCTATTCCCCCCTCCCTCCCCGCCATGCACACACACGGGGTTGGCCGGGTCGTATCCATTGCGGAAGGGGTGGTTGGCCGGCAGGGTCTCCGGTGGGCGGATGGTCATCAGCGGATACCCCTTCAGCCGATCCTCTGACGCAAAGATGACCCATTGCCCATAGCTCTCTCTCCCCTCTCCCTCCCCTCCCTCACCTGCATACTCACACGCGGGGTTGTTCAAGTCGAATCTATTGCGGAAGAGGCTGAAGAGGCTGCCTCGCGGCAGGGTGTGCCGTGTGCGAATGGTGAGCCGATTGCCACCCAGCCGCTCCCCGCTGTTGCTGACGCGCTCGAGCGTCATGTCCAGGTGGCGGGCGATGAGGGACAGCTGGCGCAACGCCTCACATCGGCCGTCGAAGACCGCCCGGCTGCCTACCGCCTCCACATCAGCACTGCCCAACTCTATCGGCAGCCGTCCCTCTCCCCGCCCCTGGTGCACAGCCACCCTAACGAGTGGCTCCCACCCCGTCCAGTCGCCGCTCTTGTCGAGGAAGTACGCCAGCCGCAGCAGCGAGTCGACGGATGTCAGCTGGGGGGAGATGGTGATGATGCCCTGGAGGCCCTTGGCGACGAGCAGGCCGTCGATGTACTTGTTGACCTCCTCGACCACGACGTGCTCATTGGTGTCGTTGAGCTGTGCGATGACTGCGTGTTTGGTGGCCTCCGAGCGGGCCGCCTTCCTGATCAGCACCGAACAGAGGGACGTGACCGTCTGATGGATGAAACAAACGGGCCAACAATCCGAGCAAGAGGGCCACCGTGACGCGTTCACATGATCTGCGTGTGTGCGCGGTCTCCTTCACCTGTGGCTGCGGCAAGTCGGCTACAGGACCATCAGCAGCGGATGACGATGACGCTGAAGCCGCCATCGCTTGGTCGGAAAGCGTCTGCACCAGGAGTGCAGAGGCATGGTCGCATCCCTCTCTCATCCATATCTCCCTGCTCATCAATATCTCCCTGCTCACCAAAATCGCCAGACGATACCGAGTCAGGAATTAGGCATTGATTACATCATGCCCCTTCATACCAATTTCATGTCTCGTAGATCTCGAGGGTGGTTTCAGGGTTTAGCTCGCAGGGTCCTCTCTCCTCCCCGGGTCACCTCCTTGTCCGACGACAGACGCTGCAGCGCCCGCATGCACGGTGTGCTCGCCGCCGCTGGAGAGCCGCTGTCGTCGTCACCCGTCGGCCGCGACAGCAAGAGGTCGAAGTAGAACACCACAGATGGGTCTTCCTTCTCGCTCTCGCGTGGCTCGAGCGACAGCAGGTTGTCGTGTCGTATGCGACCAGAACGCGCAGGATGGCGCGGAAGGCCGTCGGGTCTACGTCAAGGAAAATGGGCGGGGGCGTGCTGCTGCACACAGAGGGGGAGGTTGGGCTGGAGGGAGATGTGGAAGCGGCTGGCTGGTAGGGGACGAGCATGTGGTCGAATGCTGCATGACAAACAGACAGGGAGAGGGAGGGGGAGGGGGAGGGGGAGAAGGAGAAGGAACAATGAATCCATGGCTGGCGCGGGTGTGTCAAAAGTCACAGTGCCCTTTCATTTTGCGTGCATTGCATACCGCCGGAGAAGAGGTCGCATAGGAGGGATTCGCTCACGCACGTGAGGGTGGAGCGGGGAACCTATACATAGACAGACAGACAGACAGGCAGAGGCAGGGCGGCACGTATTTGGATGGAACGACCTCTGTCTACGTCTGCATACTCACTCACCATGAAGCCTTCGCCACCGACATTAACGACCAGAATGTCCTTGGGATCACCGCGGATGTCCCGCCACCTCCTGGCCCGCACATACTCATCGAGTTCCTTCCGCTTCCGCTCAACCAACTCACGACGCCTCTGGAAATGCAATGCACACATTGTCAAGGGAAGGCATTTGCAGCGCGGCCATGCATTTCAACCTCCGTAGTGATGATGCAGCGTACCTTCAGGTCTCTGACGACGCTCTGCACCTTTCCTGTAAGACTCTGCAGCGGGCAGTCGACGCTGGGAAGGCCAGTGAGTCCCACACGGGACATCCCGTCCTCCTCCGCCTCTGCACAATTCATCTGCATGACGAAGCTGCGCGCTTGGCGCGCGATCAGAACCGTTGGAAATCTCAGCTCTGCCATCTGTAGGTGTCTGTCGTCTCTATATACGTCTGTACGAGTCTTGTATACGAAGGCAGTGGGGGGGCAGGTGGTCTGATCTCTGTTCTCTCTGCTCTCCTCTGGTCTGTCTGTCTGCCTGCGTGTGCTGTGGAGCGATGTGCTGCCAGATAGGTAGATGTAGGTAGCTTGGCTTGACGGACCGCTGCTGCTGCCAGGTCATGTGGCTACAGTTGCTTCTGGCACTGGTGGCCTTACAGGGACCACAGGGGGATGCCCAAGTGATTGCGGGTGTGCGACCGCCGGGAATGAGGCTGAAGAAGCAACAGGCAATTCCAAGCAGAGGGAAGCAGCACCAGGCCCGAGAAAGTGTTGGTACGGACAGCCAATCAATCGCACAGGCGTTCACACAGACACACACCGCATCTTTGTATCTGTCTGTCTGTTGCTTTGCAGTGGCTGTCGCGCCTGGGCCGCCTCCAGGCTACTTTAGTGAGCCCACACCGGAGTACACAGATGAGTTCCAGGGCAGCCGGCTCGATCTGGGCAAATGGCATAAACGCCGTGAGTGCAAGTTCACGTCATTGAGCTGTCAAAGGCCAGAGCAGGTGAATAGCATGGCGGGCGGGCGGGTGGTGGATATATGGATAAACAGATGGTTACACAACGCAGGGCAGGCGGGATGGATGGATGGAATCGGTGGTGTCTGTCTGTCGCGTGTGGTGTGTCCACCAGGTGAGTGTGTCTGACGGCCTGATGCGCATCAAGCTCGAGAGCGTGGAGCAGAACATCACCGTGCAGATCCCAGAGTCACAAGGCTGTCCCGAAAACGATACCATGGACGGCTGTACGAGGGACTTCAAATACTTCGGGGGTAAGTGAGTGAAGTGTCCGGCAGTGTCCGGCGGACTGGACCCCACACGTCCGTCCCTGCGTGCATTTGTGTGCGCCGCCGCGTGTTGTGTGTAGGTGGCATCATCAGCAACTTCAACGTGTCCTTTGGGTACGCCGAGGCGCGCATCAAGTCCTGGAAGGATGGAGGGTGGTGGCAGGCCTTCTGGTCGGCCACGGCTGACACGCAGGTGGCCGGCGCCTGTGAGATCTGCAACATTGAGGGCTTCCCCAGGCAGCAGGTGGACGTTTGCGAAATCAACTCAGGTACGTCCAACGACAGACACATAGTGCCCGACCATCCATCCATCCATCCATCCAAACATCCTTCCCTTGTTTGTTTCGTGCAGGCATCAGCATAGCCCAGTGGAACTTGATCAAGTGGTCACCGGACCCTGGCACGTACTATAGCGGCCGATTTGCCGAGCTGCCGGGCCTCGTTGACAAGTGGACGGTGTGGGGAGTTGAATACACGCCAAACTACGTACGCGTCGAAAGACGTGCAGAGAAGGCCACCTGAGTTGACTGACACACAAAGGCTCTCCTGTGTGCAGAACCGCATATGGAAGGATGGCGTGTTCCTCGGCACTCTCGACAACCGGTACATGACGGTGCAGGAGCTGACTGAGTGGCACTGGTGGATCACCGCCATCCTCACCTCATCGAGCCTCGCTAACATGGACGAGACCAACCTGCCCAGGCGCATTTGTAGCCGACTACTTCAGATGGTACGACATGGACCCCGGCAAAAAGCTCGTCTTCCCGCCTTTGACCAACACGGACGCCTTCCCGCGTGTTACCCTCCCTCCCTACCCCGCCGACACACACACCCTTTCCCCATCCGTCCGGGCCTTCACTGTCGCTTTCTGGGTCAAACACGATCCGTCCCTTGTGGAGGAACTCTTGGCTGGTGGTGAGGAGGGGGCGCCGTATGTGACTTATTCCGTTGCTGGGGTGGACGGCAGTGCGGAGGAGCTGTCCGTCAAGTCAGCTCCAGGCGGCAAGCTGAGGATAACGGTTGCTGGGGAAACGGTGGATGTGGACGAGTTCTGGCTGAGTGAGTGGATGCATGGCATGTGCACATCAGCCAGCTACGCACCGACAACGAATCCATCTCATCTCATCTCTTAATTCATCTTGTGTGGGCGTGGGTGTCTTCTTTGTGCTGTGCACTGCAGGTGATGACATCGATATCCTTGGGTGGACTCATGTTGGTGTGACATACGACGGATATGATCTGATCGTCTTCCGCAACGCAGAGGTGGTGCTCACCGAGGCGCTATGGGTGAGTGGGTGTGTGAGACACACGGAACAAAGCGCACCCACCTGTGCAAGCAGGCACATCTGTGTGTCTTGTGGTGTGCAGGAGGACGACCCATTCAAGTCCCGCAATGGGCTCAATCGTAATGGCATCCTGACGGCGGGGCACATCTACACCCTCTCAACCGAGACCGGCGAGCTGTTGCCAGACAGGTCTTTTGCAGGAGAGCTCGCCCATGTGAAGCTATTCACGTCAGCCCTCTCCAAGAGAGACTTCTCTTCACTGTGAGCTCCTCTCCCCCACCGACCCAACCACTCACCCACCCACCAGCCTTCACCCACATCCCTCTGCTGCGCACCGCATCGCACTGGTCTCTCTGTCTGTCTGTCTGTCTGTCTGTCTGTCGTCCAGGTACTTTTGCCTGAACGTCTATGGCGACTGGTTCGACTCACAGCTGGGCTAACAGACGGATGGGGGCGCCACAGCGACATCGCCTGACGACCTCACGTGTCCCGACCGAATGGACGGCCCCTTCTATCCCGCCGATGACGGGGTGGCAGACGAGGAGCGCGAGGCGCACCCCTTCAGTGGCTTCTTCGCGTCGGGGTACCAGCCCTTCTTCAACAGTAGCGCCATCCTGTATCCTGCTGTGAAGGAAACTGATAACATGACTGAGACGTACGTATACAACACACAGCGTGGATGGGTAGACCCGCACGGCTGGATGGGCTGGTAGTGAAGGTAATTGACAACATGACTGCTGGGGAAAAGGAATTGTGTTCGTGAATGATGGAATTGTGTTGTTGGTCATTTTGTCAGACAGTGTGTGTGCGTGTTGCGTGTTGCGTTGTGGGTGTGGGTGTAGTGGAGGTATGTGTGTGCGCGTGAGCAGAGATGGAGGCACGACACACTGCTGTTGGATTTGTGGTGTTTTTCCTGCCTGCTGACACGCGTCTCGCTAGCTGTCTGTGCTGCTGTGTCCGTGCCCCCTCTCTCCTCCCGTGTGTATCTGTGGATATGTGGGTGTACATAAGCGCTCTCTCATATGCGACAGCATAACGTGCATCCATGTTCGTGTTCGTGTTCGTGTTCGTGTGTGTGTGGCTCCGTGCGTGTGCGTGGTTTTCCTCCGGTCGTGCCGCATGCGGCACGTACAGGCGCCTTGATGCGTGAGTGCATCCGAGGCAGCCAGCGGAGGGAATAGCAGACTGAGACATGCACGTCTGCGTAGGTCAACGTAGGAACTATATGCTATGCTGGATGTGCGTGTATGTATGGTCATCAGGCCTGCGATATTTTCTCTTAGAGGCGTTTTTCGTGAGTAAGGGTGCGGTACGGTGCATGCGTACGTGTGTTCACATGAATTCACATGAATGTCTCACTCTCGAATCTACCTGACTGACTTCTGCAAGTCCAATTAACCAACCCATTCATACTCACTGACGGTCCGAAGAAGAGGCTCATTGTGTGTGTTCGATCATGGAATCGGTGGATGGGATGCAGCTAGCTGTCGAGATCATATATCCCTGTCTGTCATCCGTCCAAATTTCGAGCTCAGCTGTCGAGATTCGGAGACGGCGCGCGAGACGGGGGCAACTCGACTTGTATGCACACCGAATGAATCGATAGGTCCCCTCAGTCAGTCAACACAGAGCTCACTCGGCAGCACTCAGGCACTATCAACGCACACACATGGACGGACAAGGCTGACATAGCCACCCATTCCCCCCTGACGTCACTGCCCCACCAGCAAGGCCTCGTCCACCGCCGCAAACAGCCGCGTGCACTCGTCCTGGTTGAACACGCTGGCCGCCGTCGCGCCCACGCCATCGTCGTCATTGTCAGGCATGCCCTCCCACACACCCGTGTGGCTCTCACTCTCCCGCAGGTGGACGTACAGCGTCGCAAACAGCGCCCAGGACCGGTGCCCGCCTTGGCTGGCGGCAGCAGCATCGCCTTGGTCGGTGTCAGCGGCGGTCATGACGGGGAATGGGAGGGCCTTCAATGGGCCCATCACACCCTGCACCAAGGGGCCGCAGGAGGGGTGCCTGGTATGCCAGGCAGCCAAACAGACAGGGACCAATCGCACCAAGTCAGATAAGTGTCTCTGTGTTCGTCACTGGTTGTCTCATTCACTTGTGTGAGAGGTAGCTGGCGAAGAGCAGCAGTGGGGGGCCGCGCACAAAAAAGGGCGCCAGGAACATCAGAAAGGGATACACACACACATCCAGGCTGCCCAAGATGCACGCTGCAACCGACGACAACACACACATGGCAGGCGTACAGACAGAGACACGCAGAGAGATGCTCATCCATGACGCTCGTCAATCGGTCGACAGCAGGCGTCTGTCTCACTCACTCTCTGGGACGAAGAATCTTCTCTGCCACTCGCGCAGCCTCGACTGCTCCCCACCCGGACAGAACACATCATGGAACAGAGACAGGGCACCTGCACACACACAGGCAAACACACAGAGACGAGAAATGGCGACACCAGCAGTGCAGTATGCATGTGTGTGTGTCCTGTCGCGTGGCTGACCGTCTGGTCCCCTGGGGTGTGTCTGTCTTTGTGTGACGGTCTCGACGCCCCCGCCATGGTCGTCTCCTCGCCCACCTCGAGCTGCATGTAGGTGTAGCTCTGCCACAGACAGCGACTCATCTCCTGCCAGCCGACGACACTCCCAGGCCGACACTCCTGCACACCACAGAGGGAGGAGCGACACACGAGTCAGTCAGAACGACGGTAGGTCGTGGTGGGGTCGGCTTGCCAGGAATTCTGCGGCGATCCTGAGCTGTGCCTCGGGTGTGAGAGCAGGCCTCGCGCGATAGGCCAGGATGAGACTCTCGTCGTCACCCCTGCACATACATCAGACAGACAGACAGACACTGCTGTATGGTATGCATCCTTTGCTAATGGTCTTTTGGTGTGCCTGCCTGCCTGCCTGCCTGATCCACCTACCCTGATCGCTGGATGTACTCTCTCGTGTACTGCTCCTGCAGCTCCGGCAGCACACCAAGATGCATCCATCGAAAGACACACACACACACACGGAGGGCCCCCCTCAATCCTGTCCCTGTCTCTCTGTCTGTCTGTCTGTGTGCCCCACCCACCAGTCGTGTCCGTTCTGTGGGTGATATGAGTCCCTGTGTGAGCATCTGCCGCAGCGCCTCCTCCTGCAGCAGCACCAACAAGAGCTCCAGCGCCACCATGTTGGACGCGTCGCCACGCACGCAGCTCTCAAACAGATCACGGCACTGAATGACACACAAACACACAGACGCAGACAGACGAGACGTCCGATATGGGCGGCCAAGGGTGTGTGTGGCAGTGCTGGTGCTGGTTACGGTGTCTGATGCGCGCTCGATGAGGAAGGCGAGAGTCGGCGGAGGGGTCTGCCATGCCAGGCACACAACGGATGGACAGCACATGACATGACATGACACGACATGCGTCCATCGATCGTCAATGTCCCTCTCTGGCCTGGCCACCCCGTCACCGTACCCTGTCGGCCTCGATGTATCCCACGATGGCCTTGAGCACCACCCTGACAACCACAAACACACACACACACACACACACTCAACGCGTCCTCTGTCTGGACCAGAACTGATTATTAATGTGAATGGAGAGGAATGCGCGTGAATGGACATGACTGACTGACTCGCACAAGCGGACGGGTAATTGAGTGCCCCTCGGGACACCCGCACAGACGCACCAAAAGCGCTCAACCAGACAGACAGACAGAACCATTCACCTCACACACACACACGGGCACTCGTCCGCAACTCACTTTGTCCATTCAATCATCGAGGCATCACTTTCGCTTACTCAAAAAACAAGCGGCAAACCAATGAGTGACTTGATCACTCATAAGGCTGCCCCCCCATGTCCTCCCGTCTTGCCCACACAAAACCTGCCGGAAGTGGCGCTGCGCCGCTCTTGATGTCGTCAACAAACCGCGCTATGCACGCCCTCTGCTTCGACTCGGTGGCGACTCTTCTGTACTCCTCGCTCCCTGGAAAATCGTCATCCTCGTCATCGAACTCGTCTCGAGGCTCCGCCGAGGCTTTGAGTGGCTGGCGGCTACTGAGGTAGTCGACGAGGTAGTTGGCCGCTTCGTGCAGGTCGCAGTTGACTTCCTGGGAGGCTCTGTCCTTGGGAAGCTGCTTGACCAGTCGACAGGCCGACCCATTCGTCAAAAGACCGATGAGGGGCAGGTTGCTGTCGCGGTGGTAATGGTTGTGCCGTCGCTTGATCATCAGCAGCTCCCCACGGATCTGGCCTTCGAAACCGGCGTCCGTCACCTTCTCCCCAGGAGCCTTGGCCTCCACCACCACCACCATCTCACCCATAGCCGGCTCGATGGGCGGCCGGAGTAGCCCATGACGATACACAGAAGACTCCGGCAGAATGGCGATATCTCCCGGGCTTCCTCTCAACTCCAAAGGTTCCTCGTCGCTGGGGTTCAGTCTGCACTGCTTGTACTTGTCGGTGAACGCCAAGCCCCATTTGCCGCTGCCAGGGGCAGCCGTTGCTGTCAGGACGGCTGGCAGGACGGTTTCGAACATGAAAGACATGACGTGGTCTTCCGGGTTAGACGCCTTCTCGGGAGGCGTGGGGCCGAGTGTGAAGTGTCCTGGCGTGAAGGGCTGATCTCGCTTCAGAATGGCGGTGCTCTGCTCATCCCACGAAGTGACGTCTAAGCCCAGCTTTGCCTGGTCCGCCGGAATGTTGCTCAACTGATAGGATGCAAACTACAGACATACCATGGCAGACATATAAAGGAAACAGACTGACTGAGTTGCGTCTGCACGTGTGTATACCTCATCAGGCAAGCGGAACACCAGAGGATTCTCCTTGGAGTCACCCATTCCGCGTAGCGCATCCGACACCCCCGCTGCGTTGTCCAGGTTCATCGGTGTGCCATCACCATCGATCAGTACGGTGTGTCGCGCCTTCTGGAAGCTGCCAGCGACTCTTTCCTTCAGCGTCATGACAATGGAGCTTGCTCCAACTTGTAGAGGGTAGCTGTCACCCTCACCCTCTAGCCTGACGTACTTCGTCAAGAGTGCGGCCTTCTCTGGTCTCTCACGGAGACTCTCAGCTCCGGCAGTGGAGGGGCGCTTCTGCTTCTCGCCGCTCATCATCAAAGAGAGAAGGCCTTTTCTCGCGCGCTAGCGAGCTTGTGCCGTTGTGGGTGTACTTATGCGCAGGCGCACCTTAGATGTATAGTCTCTCCTTAGATATACAATCTTACCCTTAACCACCACCTTAGATCCATTCTCTTGATAGGTATTAGGCCCATAAGTCCTATGCTGGTTTGGCTTTGGCTTGGACGCACTGTCTCTAGATAGACCCACACACAGACAGACAGTGTGTCCATTCATTCATTCATCGAGGCATGTCCCACTTCCATTCATCCACTGTCTCTCTCTCTCTCTTACCTCTCTCTCACCCTCTCTCTGCCGGTGAAGGCCTGGACAGCTCTCGCCATCGGTCGGCCAGCCGAGCCACGGCTGCTATGCTATAGAAGGAGTTAGTCAGCCAGGACGGATGGGCGGGTGGGTGAGGGCACCTGCCTGCCTGCCTGCAAGGTCCCCAAACAGAGACAGACAGGTGACCCCCCTCCCTCTACACGCAGATAGATACGTCAGCAAGGTAGATAGAATGCAGTGAGTGAGTGAGTGAGTCAAAATCGGTGCAATGCAATGCCAATCACTCAGTGCAAAAACAGGCTGGGGATGGTCGTCTGTACACATGACCAAGGATGTATGTATGTGCGTATGTATGCAATACAGTCAGTCCCGCGTGGCACGCACGGGTCGGCCAAAAGCACCACTATCTATCCACAGGCACTAGGTCCCCCTATATCAGCGGGTCAGGCAGTCAGTCGATAAAGACGAATGGCAGGCACTCTCATTCCGGTAGCTAGTATGTATGCCTCACATACGTGCCAGCCGCGCCCATTTAGTCATTGTACACCCCTGCCCCCCAGACCCAACATGATACATACCAGCGAGACGAATGAATGCCAAAAGAGACCCAGCACCCACCCACCCTTACACAGATAAACCAATGTGCGAGCACTTCGCTGTCCCTCTCTTACCTTTCTCTCCTCTGCAGCGCAGCAATCGTCCATACGATATCGCCCACTCACGGTGACCCAGCCGGTTGGCAAGATACATACATAATGCTATCGACACCCTTAGATTTCCCTCCGCCCACCCATTCGTTCCAACCGTCTGTCTTCTTAAGACTGACTGACAGTCTGCTATCTATCGGTCAGCATCCGCGAGCACAAAGCTCGTCTGCTCCAGCACTTGCCGCCCTCCAGGGAGACTTGGTGACAACGCTGGCAGCCGCATGCCGCTTTCTGCCTCGGAGGGGAAGACATCCGCCCCTCCACCCCTTGCCCACACACGCTCGGACAGGCCGAATATCAGCTGCCTCAGCGGCCGCCTCTCAGCTGTGGGTGTCTGTGATAATGCTGTGTCCTGTGCTGCTGGTGTTGCTGCTGTCTGTGCTGATGCGTCTGCCTTGAGGGATCGCTGTGCGGCCCTGGGTGTGAGTACGGCTTGGTACTGGTCGTTGTTCTGCAGCAGCTTGATGGCCGTGGCCACCATGGGGTCGTACTGCAGGTTCTGGGAGAGGCGGAGGGTATCGGGCAGATACCTGCACACAGGGAGGGAGGGAGGGAGGGAGGAACGCATCAACACCAGGTGTGTGTGTGCCTGCATTTGGTGGAGGTGATGTGTGATTGCCTTTGTTTGATGGCGTCTGCGAGGTCGAGTTTGAGTTCCTTTGCGTTGCGGACAAAGTCATTCTTGATCTCCTTGGCCAAGTCCTCCCTGCAGCCAGTCAAAGACGCCATATATCATATGCTCTCCTGTTTGCACTGGGTCGTGTATGTATGTCTGTCTATGTGACCTACCTGAGTTGTTGTATTCCCTTTTCGACCGCCTTTGTGTACGACTGGTCGCTGCGGTCCAACTCCTTCAGCAACGTACCTGCTCACACACAAGAGACAGACACAGGGAGGGAGGCCGGATCCCCCCACACATCACACACATGGGGTGGTGTGCCTTGTCCGTCCGGGCTCTCTCACCTAGGTCGTTGAGTTGCGATGCGTAGAGTGTGTCGAGTTTGATCTTGCCGCTCTTGACGCGCTCCAACACCCACCTGTGACCATATATGAAGGCGCAGGGCAGGCATGGTGGAATCAAGGATACTCGTCTGTCTGCATGATGTGTGTCCATCCATCGAGGGATGTATGTTTGTCGGGTAGGTACCCTTGGAAAGCGTCGTAGATGTCGTCAATCTGGCTGTCGATCTCACCACGATACTGCACACAGTGCAGTGCAATGGGCGGGCACAGATATGATGCCTGTGTGAGAGTCTGTCTGGTGTGGGTCGCCCCCCACCCACCTCATTGAATTTGGACCACTCAGCCGCATAGTCGAACATAGCTCCCTGATACGATACACAAACACAGGACGCGGGACACACACGTGTGTCGGTGTTCCTTCCCCACCACACCCACCCACACACACACACACACGCACACACACGAGGAAGAGCCCTTTGGGGGTACATACCTGTGAGATGAGTGTGATCTCGAGAGGAGAGGTCTTGGGCAGGTTGACCTTGACGTCGGCCTCGATGCCGCCACCGTCGCGCACGTACCGACCCCCACGCGTCTTGAACACCTTCCTCTCGCTCTCGGATATCTCGTCCGACAGATACCTACACACACACACACACACACAGAGAGAGAGAGAGAGAGACATGGATGAAACCATATGCGCCGTGTGTCTGTCTGTGGACCCACATGTCTGTCTGTCACACACCTGAGGTCGCTGTCGTCAGCCTTCCTCCGTCCGTTCCTCCGTGACTGTGGGTCGGTCGTCGATGGCCCATTATTGTTCTCCTGCGGGGCCGTGGGTGTGCCCTGGGTGTCCTCGTTGGGTGTTGTGGTTGAGGCGTCGGCCATGTTGACGCCGCCCTCCGAGTACTTGACGCTCTGGATGCACCGACCGCTGGGCGTGTAATACCTGCACGCAGGCATGCCGAGAGGGGGGGAGAAGGCGCGTGTTGCTCTCTATCTCTCTTTGTTGCTCTGTCTCTCTTTCGCATCAATCGATCTGATTCAGGCTGATGGCCGGCTGACTTTGCGACGGTATATTTGAGAGCGGTGTCAAAGGGAAGGGCCTCGACGTTCTGGACCAGACCCTTGCCGAACGTCCTGCAGCAGCCTCACACACGCATGGATGGATGGATGGATGGATTGCGTGATCTGGCTACTTACTGGCTCACTCACTCACCTTCCTGTGCCGACGATGACGCCACAGTCCAGGTCCTGAAAGAAGAGACGAATATACGAATGGGCTGGCCCTGCTTGCCTGCCTGGGCATCGATCGCATCGATGTATGAAACCCCCACTGACTGACCTGTATGGCTCCCGATACAATCTCAGCTGCAGATGCGGTGGCTTCATTCGTCAGAAGAACCAACTTGACGCTCGGGTCCAACACGGGCTCGGTCGTACTCCTGGTGGAACATACAATACACACACACGGAACGATGTGTGAACCAACCTCGTGTGTGTGGGCGTGGCGTGTTGGTCGTTCGTTCTCACTCACTTGTAGGCCACTCGCACGAACGACCGCCCCTGTGCGCTCACTATCTCCGACCCCTATGTATGTCAATCACAGATATATACAATACACGCATCGAATCGACCCATTCATTCATGTGTCACCCTGTCTGTCTGTCTGTCTTTGTGTGTTGGCTGGGCTGTGAGCTCACCCACTTTGGGTACGAACAGTGAAGCGATGTCGACGGCTGAGTTGAGGAGGCCGCCAGGGTTGCCCCGCAGGTTCAGCACCACCCCGTCCAGGCCGGCTCGCGGGGCGTTCTGCTGCAGCCAACGGAGCGCCACGCGCATCTCCTGCACACACCCACCCACACAGGCCAGGACACACACAAGGAAGTCAGTCAACTCGGTGTCGCGTATGTATGTCTTGTATGCAATCCAGGCTGACGGCGAATGATGAGGCTGAGAAGCCACTGAGCTGGATGTAACCTACACACGCACGACAGACACGACAGGCAGACAGACAGACAGAGGGATAGATTAGGTAGGACAGGTCAAGTGCTGAGTGGACTGGGCTGGTGGTACTCCCTCGGTCAGTTAGTTACCGATTCCATCGTCTCTGCTGCCGAGATACTGGAAGAGCTTCACATTAGGGACGCGGACCAGCCGACGGGTCAGCGTCACCTGAAGAAAGAAGGATAGATACAAACCAAAGCGTGGCGCACTCTCATGCACACGAAGGGGAATGGCATGACCATCCGTGCACTGAACTCACTGCCCGTCTTCCTTCCTTCTCACTCACCGATTGCAGTCCGTCGACTCCATCCCTGATGAAGGCCACGTTGACTTGCGAGTCAGGCGGGCCCCTTAGCATGTTCTTGACTGCACACACACCACAACCCCACCCACATGTGTCTCTTGTGGGCCCCGTCTCTTCATTCATACGTCCACCACCCATCCCTCATTCATTCTACGATAGATACCTTCCTCAGGCGAGAGGTTAGCCACGGGTCTGCCCTCGACCTCCACCAGATGGTCGCCCACCCTCATGCCAGCGTCGAAGGCATAGCCCTCGAACGCACCCATCACTATGATGCCCGTCGGGTCCTTGCCGCGCTGCGGAAAGGAGGCTCGCTGGGATGGGGATGTTGGCTGGGATGGTGAGGGTGGGGAGGGGGAGGGGGCGATGCGTTGGGGGATGGGCTCGGCCGACGCCGTGAAGGGGCGGAGGGTGGAGGCCATCGGGCCGATGCTGTCGTCCTTTGGCTTCTCGGCCTCGAGGATGAGGTCGATCTCCTTGGTGGCCGTGTCAATCACCTGTATGCATGAGGACTTAAAGGAGTGATTGAACGTGCCTCGTGTGTGTGTGTGTGTGTGTATGTGTGGTGATGACGGCTACCCTACCCTTTGAGGCGGGTTTCTGTCGACGGCAATGACGAGACCCACACCGCCGTAGCGGCCTGCGACATTCTCACGAAGATCTGACGCTGCCTGCACACATGATAAAGCAGAGCGACGACACCGTGAGAGGATGTGCATGTGTCAGTTTGGCTGGTGTGGTGACCTGTAGGTTTTCAAACTCCGTGTATGGGTCAAGGCTCCTCAGCATGGCCGTCACGGCCGTGTTGAACAGCTTCTCTGTGTCGACCTTCTCAACGTAACCTGAACGAACAATCATTGGGTACCAAACAACCATAATCACTCGACGCCACCCACCCACCGCACGGCACGCACCCAAGTCTCTCTCTGGTGTGTGCCGCCCAGCTCACCTCGTAGATGCAGGACGTCGGCCGCATTGCCAGCATCGCTGAAGTGTCTGTGGAGGACTTCGAGGTGTATGGCCGTATCAATTCCATGAGCAAGATCCAGCTTGACGCGATGCTTTCGAAGTACGGCAAGGTGCTGCAGCAGCCGTCGGAGATGACGCCCGATCTCAAGGAGGGGATTCGAAACTACTTCAAGCCACCCACGGTGAACACACGAGCGGAGCGTCCGGAGAGAGGGGCACAAAGGCCATGGAATGTTCCTGTGTGGCGTGTAGCGTGTGGCAGGTGTGCAGGTCGGTGACTCACTGTCTGACGAGGAGCGAGAGGAGCAACAGCTCTTCACGAAGATCGGAAAGCCAGGGACAGCCAAATTACGGTAGGGACAACAGAGAACAGAGAACAAACGCAATGCGCCATGAGGAACACGTGACGATTCTGCGCTGCTGTTGTTGTGTGGTGCAGTACATTTCTGGGGTCTTTGCTTCATGGCTGCTCTTCATTACTATCCTCGGTCGCCTCGGCGGCAGCATCTGAACAGTCGCCCCGACCGGCAACAGCCCCGGCTACCAGTCAATCGCCAACAGCGTGTCGAACCTCGCTACGACTGTCCTCATCGTCGTCCTCCGAAGTTGGTTCAGCCATTCACTGCAGCGGCTGGGCAAATCCTGCAGAGACTGCTGCTGCATGTGCTGTGATCGGAGCGGCAGAGGTGGAGATGGCTGCTGTGGCAAGTATTGGCGCTGGTGTCGTCAGCTCTTCTTCTTTTCGTCCTGCTGCAAGCGGCGCAACCAGACTACGGCCGAAGTCGTCGATAGACACACCGGCCCGAGGTCGGCCGCATTCATTGCCCCATCACGAGCACAGTCCGACCGCACAGGAACGAGTCCCTCTACTGCACGACCACCAGCAGTAGACTTTCCTCCCAGCCACCCACTTCAAGCCGCCCTCAACAAGTTCCCATCCTGGTCTGGCAGACAGCAAGTGACGCACGGCAGGCATGCGGCCAGCGACACTGCAAGGGAGGAAGGCACATTGGTCGAGAGTAAAGCCAGTGGGAGAGGGCAGGGGGGGAGGGCATGTTGAGTGACGAGGGAAACCGCATCGACTGGCTTGGGAGGGCAAGCTGACAGGGTCGGTAAGGCTGAGGGCCGCTAGGGCCGCGTGGCGGAGAGGTGGTGGGTGGGGAGGCGGTGGGCCCAGCCTGTTAGACAGACGAGTGACGTGCAGTCGAGGTGTGACCACTTTTAGTTCGTATGAGCCAGCCCATTTGCGCCAGCCAGCCATCTTACAGGTGTGTAGCACACGAGTGGGTTGTCAACTAGCAGAGACAGATGCCCGAGTAGAGGGACACGCAATATACGCATTGATTGAATACGAGTGTCATCTGCTGAACTGTTACGAGACTGCGGCAGTATGAAAAAGTCACGTGGCGGGAAGACAAAAGACATCAGTGTAAGGACATGCGCTACTTATCCATCTTCACCCACCCGTTACACCACAGCAAAACTTGACCCATAAAGATTCAAACACTGCAACGCACAAGTGAGCATGTGCGGTTCAGTGTCAGACCAAGTAATGCGTCAACATCGTCCCGAGATGGCACAATCCACACATGGCCATCCTCCTGCCTCCTCACAAATGCCTTCTCTCCCCGCCCCCCACCCCCTCGCAGCCACACTGACTTGATCTCCATCGACCGCATATCGGGATCACTGAACAGATCGGCCGCGCCAGGCAGCGGGTTGCCGGCAAGAGGCGGCCATATCTTGGTTTCCGTCCACTGCCGCCGGCGATCCTTGTAGTCGACACAGGGCTCGTCCTCTCCTGGTGGTAAGACGTCTCCGCGGGCACACTTGTAGCCCCACACATCGCTCAGCTTGCCATCCTTGCCCACCACGAACACAAAAAAATCATAGATACCCTCGAAGGCATCAGGCTTGGGCTCATAGAAGAAGACGGTGAATCGTGTAGAGCATGGAGGTCCGCTCCTTTGGACAAACGCCTTGACGACGTCCTCAGTGTTTCTCCACTCCGAGCTGCTGAGGCACCCGCCAAATTTGCAGCCCATCGCCTCCTTGTCCCACTTCAACGGTATCACGAGAGAGCCGGAAAGGATGTTGCCGATATGCGGTGGGACCTCGTCAGCTTCGCGGGGGCCATAGTGGGTTAGCTTTGCTATTTCGCCTTGCAGCAATCGTATGAGAACCGCCGCTGCACACGGCCCAACCCACTGGCGTCCCTCCTCAGCATGATTTAGCATCCGCAAGCTGCTGGCAACAGCATTCAGCCCCTCAGAAAGAGACGCGCCAGCATTCTCCTTCAAAGCGTCCCATTGCGCCAGCCTCGTGCACATACCAGCCAGGTGCACATACCAGCCAGATAGCAAGGAGGCAGTGAGTATGTTCGAAAACGTCGTCCTGGCCGTTTATATGAAGTCCTTTCTTCGTCAAACACATTCAAGAGTGCCGTCCAGATGCCGATGTTAGAAATTGAAGAGCCGAAGGTCACTCCTCCTTCCATAGCCGTCATTATAACCTCAGACAATACCTCAATCGCTTCAAATCTTCTCCGATCGACACGAGAGACGATGCTGACTTTGGCCTCCAGAGAGCCACCGTACTGACTTATCTCCCACACTAGTCCAGGAGATCGCCCGGCCCAGCAAATCGTTCCACGAGTCACATTGCTGTTCAGAACGTGCTCCAGGTCCTTTTCCTCGATCAAAGGCAGCTCTGGCCGGAGCAGGTGACGACGCTTCCGGAACATTGGATCGAGGAAGGAAAGATATCTGTCGCTGACAGTGGTCGCATTGTTGGGCTCAGTGAAGACGAAGTGCCGGTCACGATTATTGAGGAAATCGCACAGGAGGAATTCACCCACTTCGCCCTCCGCTTTAGAGCGCTCGCCGCCCTGCAGAGTCGCAAAGCGGTGAAGGTCGTCGATAAGCAGCACACACGCCTGAGGCCACTCACGCGCGGTGCGCTCGCTGATGGATGCGTGCTTGAGCCACATCGTAAAGTTCAGCTTGTCGACATCCACATTGGCTGCCCGTGCGACCCTTGCTCGCGCCTCGTCGGTCGCCGCCGCCCACGCCAGCCGCAGATTGAGTGAGTCGAACAACGGCGTAGAGGCGCCTTCGGTGTCTAAGTGATACTCGCTCTCGTCACCAAAAGAGATAAAGATAGCAGGGATGCCCTCCTGTCGCAGCTTCTTAGACAGCTCTTTCAGCATCCGGGTCTTGCCAGCCCCTTGGAAGCCGACGAATGACATTGGCATCACTCGCTCGCTCGACGAGTCCATCCTCCCGTACTCGGGCAGCAGCAGCGAATAAGCCTTGTCCACATAATCGCTCCCAATGAACACCTCAGGCTCTGTCGTCAAGTCCACTCGAGGCAGCGGCACGTCAGCCGTGGGCAACAGATCATCCACTGTCAGCTCCACGCGACCTGCAGACGAACCAGACACGATGAGTCTTGCTGCCTGGTCGGCAATGGGGAGATGAACGTGTCACTAACCTCCTGCCTCTTGTGGCCTTTTGTGTGCCAGCTGGTCTTGTGGCTCGGACTCCTGTGGCCTCTTCATGGCTTTCATGGGATGTGCTTCTGTGATGAATCAAACCACGAAAAGCGAGGTGCGAACCTCTGTGGCTTGAGAAAAGCTCGCAAACCCTACACCCTAAACCCTAATACCCGCCAGGGTAATACCTAATACTTTCACTTTGGGGCTTTTTCCCATTGCAAGGGCAACAGGGGCGGCGCCCGATGGAGAGTCACTTTCAGATGTGAGCAGACACTGCATTTACTGAGAGGGCGGTCGGTCTGTCTGTGAAAGTCTCTGATCTGCATCGCATCGCATGGCATCTGTCAATCGGCGGCCGGCCATCCGAACCGCCGAGCGATGGAGAGTCACTCTCATTGGCCATTAAACCGACTTCACACACCAGAGGCAGTCAGGCACGCACAGACGAACGCGGTAAGGGGAGAGAAAGGAATCCATCCATCCACGCTCACATGGTAGACGGCAACAGAGCACAAAAATGCCGCAAGCCACTCACTCAGCCGTTGCAGAAAGGGAAGATGCAGAAAGAAAGAGTTGCCTCCTTCGTGTGTATATGCATATGTATGTCGTATAGACAATCAGCCATGTCCACCCTGCCTGTGTGTCGGTCGGCTGCTCTCTGTGCGTCACGATGCCCGCCAACCTGACCTCCACCACTCCGCCGCACGAACGGCGCAGTCATGCCATGGAATGGCGAAGGGCAAGAGTCTGACATCAATGAGCGCACAGCCGAGCGACCCGACGGTCTTCACATATCTACCTGGCTGACACGGGAAAAGTCCTTAATCTCGCTCCTTTGCGCGAATGTGTGTGTGCGTGTGTCTGTGTGTGTGTGTATTCTCGTCTCGTCTTTTTGCGGCTTACGGCCTGTCGGCCGGCCGGCCTGTAGGCCGAGCGCCAAAACCAAAACCAAAAGCACCAACCAGCCGACACGACACACGACACAAGAATGGCCCAGCAGCAAGCAACAAGTGTACTGTGCAGCACACATGAGCCGAGCATCATGACACAGAGAGAGAGACTGCCTGATTGTTTGCCAATCGATGATCCACACACATGCACACACGCGCAATCCAGCACAAGACAGGCAGGCAGGCAGGCAGAGCCCCCCAGGGTCGGAACTTGAAGCGACCCCCCCTCCCCCAGCCCACAACCATTATTGAAGCAGCGGGCGTGTCAATTGCGTACCGTCAGCACGTCGAATATGGTGTGAGCATGTTGGCAAGACGCCCACACGGTATCAGACGCACCAAGGCCACGCAACTGACACGCCCACCCGCCACTCACTCACAAATGCACGCAAATACGTAGACGTATGTGTAAAAGCCGAGCTGAAGATGAAGAAAGGGGCACCACTCGCCAGGCTGTCTGGCTGTCTGCCTGGCTACGCTTGCTATCGACAGAAGGCCGCCGCTCCCCTCCCCCCTGTTCACTAAGTCACGGTGGCACAGCCGCTGTGGGATGGTGAGTGAGTGTCGGTTTGTCAGTCAGTTAGTCGAAGGGGCAGATGCGCATCTTGGTCTGGTAGGGCTGTCGGCAGATGATGCACTGGTTGCTGTGGTAGTCGTTCAGGAAACAATCTGCAGGAATCAAGACAGACGTGCACACACACACACACACGCGCACACACATATGGTTGTGGTGTCCGTCGACCTGTGTTGGTCCCTCCCTCCCTCCCCTCACCAGTACACAACGACAAATGCTTGCAGGGCAGAAACAGTATCTCAACTGCGCACACACCACAGCAGATTATGAGGTGCATGCAGGCCCCCCCCTCCCTCCCTCTCTCTCTCTGACACACTCGTGTACCTTGTTTCTCGTGGCATATCTTGCACATTCGCTTGTCGCGTTCGTCCTCCTTGGCCTGCCTCTCCCGCTCCAGCGCCGTCTCGAGGTCCTTGACCTGCTGCTCCAGCTCGCTCACCCGCAGCAGCAGCGACTCGTCGCACCCACCTAACACGCCTGTGTGGACCTGCCTGCTCGTCCAACCGCACAACCACACAACCACACAACACCATTCTCTCTCTCGCTCTCCCCCTGTCTGTGTCTGTGTGTGTCATTCTCAGCTTTCTCACCCCTCATTGTCGCCATCGTCGAACGACACGGCCGCAACGGCTCTCGGCGGAACGGGGGGTGGGCAGGACGGCCGCGGGTGCAGGATGGCCACGGGCGAGTCCAGCTCACCACCACCACCACCCTGCTGCGATGCCGCTGTGGGTGTGGGTGTGTGGTGGGGTGCGAGTGGGGGCATGAAGGAGGACGAGCTCGAGGGCTGCGATGATGCGGCGGCGGCCTCCTCAAATATGGGCGGGCAGGGCGGTGGCGGCGGCAAGCCGTTGCACACATCTGACATACCACACACACACACACACACAGAGAGAGAGAGAGAGGAATGAAGACGCATCGCATCCATCCATCCATCCAGCCATGAGTGTGTCAGTGTCCATCCACCGACCTATGTCGTGCTGCAAGCCGGCAGCAGCAAGCCCACCGCCCCTCAGCGAGGATGCGCTACCAGGGGAGGGCACAGCTGGCACCACCGGGTGCTGCTGCTGTGGGTGTGGGTGTGGCGGCGGTGGGGGCGGGGGCTGCACCACGTTGCCCGTCTGCGCGAGCACCTCCAGCCGGTGCTTGGCCGCCTCCGCCCCGGCCGGCTGCCCAAAGATCACACACAGGTACTCGCCGCTGCATTGGCTGCCGCTGATAGACACAGAGGGACACAAACAGAGAGAGAGAGCGAGGGCGATTGTGGTGGGTGGTTCGTTCGTTCGTTCGTCAGATACCCGATGGCGTGTGACGGGATGACAGTGGACGTGTCGGTCTCAATTTTGTTGAGCGCCACGGCCAGCCCCCGGTCATCCGCAGCGGCAAAACGGAGCAACACACGAGGGACCTCTCTGACACACACACACACACACAGAGACACACATATGGTGTGTGTGTGGGAGGTGTGGGTGGGCGGATGTGTCTGCTTACGGATGTGCACTGAGGAAGGAAAACGAATTGGTTAGGAACTCATACACCAAATTGCTGTAGCGCTTGGCCGTCTCGCGCTGCTCAACCGTACCTACGGCCACACACACACACACACACACAACACGAAGTCCCCCATGTGTGGGTGTTGCCCTCCCTTCCTCCCTCTGTGGCTCACCCACCGGCTATGTGGACGGTGTCAGCGCCGACAGGGCAGACCATTCGGCACCTCGACGCCACCTTGATCTTCTCGGCCCTCTCACTATTGCGCCCACACACCATCGCCAAAGCGTCCTTGCCCATCATCATGACGTCGACGGCACACTCCTGCTGAGCCTCCTGCCGCTGCTGTTGCTGCTGCTGGTGTGTGGGTGTGTCTGGTGGTGGTGGTGGGGCGGGTGGCGGTGGCTGCTGCTGCTGCTGCTCGTCGAAGGCGTCGGGGAATGAGCCGGGGAAGGAGCGCTCGACGGTGCGCTTCAGGTCTAGCTCGAACGACTTGCGACAAGAACTGCACCGCACCAGCCACGAGGCAACGATGCGACGAAAGACATGGGTCTGTGTTTGTGTGTCGTGTGTGTGTCTGTCTGTCTGTCTGTCTCACGGTGGGCCGAACGCAGCGAGGTATGCGGGATGGCTCCGAGAATCGTGGTCGACAGAAGGAGACCAAAACTGCACCCATTCACACGCACAGAGAGAGAGAGAGAGAGAGAATAGAGAGAATATGTCTTCTGTGCCCCATCCCTTGGCCCCATTGGCTGCTGACCTTGAGCGTCATGATGGTGTGCTGTTCCTCAAACCTCTCCGGCTTGAGGGTGAGCATGACGTTGAGGGGGAGCGAAAAGCATGTCACATTGGGGTCCCGCATCATCTCGCCGGCCCACTTCTTGACCTCACCTGAATGACGCATGAGCAATCAGCCAGTGGGTGGCTTGTCCACCGTCCGTGTGGTGTGTGGGTCGATGTGTGTGTGTGTGTGTGTGTGTGTGGTGGGGAGGGGAGGGGCCGCACGTGGGCTGTTGAGGATGTCTTTCATCTTGACGCGTCTGTAAAACTTGAGGAAGGTCTGCGCGTCGCGCACAGACTCAGCCGTACCAGATATGCGCAAACCTGAGACACACACACGTGGTGGGACGCCATCGTGTGTGCGCGCGTGTGTGCGTGTGTGCGTGTGTGTGTGTGTGTGTGGTGGCCACTTACCCTTTGGAGGAGTGTTCCTCATATCAATGACGACTCCAAAAAAGGCCTGCACGCGCAATTTGTTGCTGCCCTGCTTCCCGAAAATCAGACCATACTCCTGCACAACACACACACACACACACGCACACACACAGAGAGAGAGAGAGAGAGATCAGTCACCTCACCATCGGCCATCCACTATGGCCAACTCACCGCTTCGTTGACTTCCAAGAAATCGCTCTCGACGAACTTGCCCGTCTTGCCCGAGGCCGAGGCGTACGGACTCACTACCGCGCTGCTCGCCGGCCTGCACACACACACACGCACACACACACAAGGGGAGAGGCGTAGGAACAGACCGTTCCCGGCGTGAGGCGGCATCTGGCTGGCAAACAAGCTTACGCTGCCATCGCTGGTGTCGTGGAGGCCACACAAAGGCGTAGAAAAGAGGAAAAGCGCAAGGAGAATGTACAATGCAAAGCTCGCAAATAGGACGATCGCTCAGAGCTTCTCGTTGTGCCTTGTGGGTGCGTAGTGCAGCCTCCAGATGGCTGACCCGATGGATGTAGACCAAGCAGAGGCCGCGGAGGCCATTTCCTCATCGCAGCACCAGCACCAGCACCTGATGAACGGCGTCCCAGAAGGAGAATGCGACGTCGCCAAAGCATGCGAGCAGTAAGGCAGGCAGGCGCCGCACCCAGCCGCAATCAACCGGTCTCTCTGTGTGTGCGTGTGTGTGCGTGCGTGTGTGTGTGTGTGATATGTGTAGGTTGCTGACGCACCTGTCGCACCTCGAGAAGCACTACGAGGAGGAGGAGACCGCCGGCCGCGCCGCCAAGCGGCAGCGCACCACACAGAGCAAGAGAAAGAAGAAACCCAGTGACAACGACAACAACACCAAGAAAAAGGGCGACGCGACCAAGAACAAGGGAGACCAGAAGGAGCCAGCTGCGGCGGCGGCGGCAGCTGCTGGTGGTGCGGATGACAGCAAAGCCGGCAGTCCGCCGCCGGCGTTCCCCGAATTTGACGACTTCTGGGGGCCCTTCGGCCCGAGCAAAGTAAGACGTAGACGCAGACAGAGGGGGCCGGAGGCGTCTACGTCTCTCTCTCTCTCTCTGTGTGTGTGTGTGTGTCTGTGGCTGGTCTAGGGCGGCAAGAAGGGCGGCGGGTTCGCCAAGGGCACTGGCTACTCGGTGAGCAGTGGGCCGTCCAGCATGGCAGCCAGGCAGGCAGGCAGGCAGGTAGCCTTTGCTCATTCCTTCCTTCCCTGGTTGTGTGTGTTGACAGAACTATTGGCACGCCAACGGCCCGGTGTGGGACCCGGAGCAGGCTGAGAAGAAGCAGAAGGAGATGGACGCCGCCGTCACGCCGCACATCGACGCCATGACCGACCTCCTGGACCAGCTGCAGGGCGCATTGGTCACAAGTGATGGCCATGGCCATGGCAATGAGAACAACAACAACGTCAACATGGATGCGGGCGACGCAGACGGAGACGGCGGCGAGGGGAAGAAGGGAGAGATCGGCAATGGTAGGAAGGGGCGGACCAAGAAAGTCAGGGGCAAACCTGTGCCGACCAATATAGAGGTGGGTGGGTGGGCTGAAGGCAGGCCGCAAGAGTGGACGGACAGACCATTGCTGTCTGTCTTTCTCTGTCTTTGTTTCTGTGTGTGTGCAGGAGTTGGAGCAGTTGCTGCACGAGTCGCGGCTGCAGGCCATCCTGACCAAGCACCTCACTCTCGCCTTCACCGAAATGTGCCAGGTAGGTCGGTCGGCAGCCCACACACTCACACACCACACCAACGCCACAAATGACACACATGACATCGTCTTCGTTCGACCTATATATCAATCAGCGTGTGGAGCTCTTCACGGCCCTGTTCGGGCTCCTGCGGTCCCTCTCGTCCCTCCCCACCTACCTGTCGCGATGGCCCCCCGCCCTCCACACCCACCTGCGCGACCTCAGAAAGAGCGCCAACCTGCTCGTCAAGTCGCTCAAGAAACAGGAGGAGGCAGCCGAGGTCAAGAAGATCACCAAGGAGAAAGAGATAGAGAAGGAGGAGGAGGCCCAGCCGGCCGCTGCTGCCGCTGCCTCTGCTGCCGCTGCTGCCGCTGGTGGTGGTGGGGGGGGCTTTTGGCCCCCTCCCGCGCTTGATGCCCTCGCTCTCTTCGGCTCGCCCGGCCCACCGCCCCCTCTCGGCCCACCGATCCCTCTCTCCTCTGGGATCAAGAAGGTGGCGAAGCTACCTGTTTTCACGCCCCCCATATCGCCCAAGGACACCTCCCCCAAGGAGGTACTCGACGGCAAGGACAAGGCGGGCGAGGAGAAAGAGGTCAGTCAGATGGGGGGACGGGCGAGGTGTGTGTCGTCTTCCCGTGTCCCTCCCTACTCTATTGTCTCTCTCTCTCTCTCTCTCTGTGTGTGTGTGTGTGTGTGGCTGTTCACTCAGGCGGCGGTAGATGCCCCGTTTGCGGCTGCTGCAGCAGTTCCCTTTGTCTCCATCAAGAAACCTGCGACGAGCGTCCGGCGGTCGACACGCAAGACGGCCGGCAAGAAGCAGGCACCCAAGGCGTCGGCCAAGAAGGGCAAGAGCAAGGCGAAGAACAAGCCCCCCGGCTCGCCCGACTCGTCGCCCTTGTTCCCCGCCCTTATGCCGGACGAGCAGGTGAAGGACGCTGATGCTGATGGCGACGGAGAGGGTGAGGGGGCGGGAGAGGACGACTTCAAGACGCCCGAGAAGGGGAAGAAGTCGAAGGCCTCGGCCAAGAAGGCCTCGCCCTTGTTCAAGACCCCAGACGACAAACACATCGCCACCATGCCCAAGAGTGAGCTGCAAATAGAACAGACCGACACACAACACAACACACGAGCGACCCACCCATCTGTGTGTCTGCTGGTGTGGGTGTGTCACCGGTGGGTGCGGCGCAGAGGGCAAGGTCTCGTCGGACAAGAAGCTGTTCTCGCCATGGATGTTCGCCAAGCCCAAGCTTGCCCCCAAGGCCAAGGCCAAGCCCAAGCTCAGCCCCGTTCCCCCGAACATGCCAGCCCCCCCTCTCCAAGCCGCCCTCTACATGACCCCCATACCCGCCTGGCGCCGCGACCGGCTCGCCCAGCCGGCTGCACCGCCAGAGCCGACAGAGGAAGAGAAGCGCCTGCTTGCGTCGTACCGGGCACTGGCCGAGAAGGTGATCGAGGTGCTTGAGTTGGTGCTGGCCAAGGTGCCCAGGGGCGATGCTGGCGGTGGTGCTCAGGGCAATGGTGGTGGGGAGGAGGGGGAGGGGGGAAGGGAGAAGGGCAAGAAGAGGCGGGGGTCGATGGCTGTGCTTGAGGGGGATGCGCCGATCAAGCTCAGGAGGGCCGCACGACTCGCACAGCAGGTGCGTAATGGCTGGACAAGTGGCGTGGGGGCATGCGTGGACCACTCACTCTCTCTCTCTCTCTCTCTGTGTGTGTGTGTGTGTGTGTGTACCTGCCAATCAAGCAGGCGTCTTCTGTGGCTTCCTCGCCGGTCAAGACCAAGAAGGGCGTCAAGCGCAAGACGACCGTTGACAACGCCCCACCCCAGCAGCTTGGCACCAGCTGGCAGGAAATAGACCCATGTAACAACACCACCGCCCTCCACCACCGTCCACCCCCCCACCTCTCTCTCCCTATTTCTTTTGTCACTCAGCTGTGTACCTTGCTGCTGGTCCGAAGCGGCGGCGTGAGGAGGCGTCGAGTGCGTCGGGCGGCGGGCCGGGGAGCGAGGAGGAGTACATCTCGGCCCTGAAGGACCTTTTGGTGGACCACGCCGAGCTGAGCGACACCCACCTGCACATGAAGCACTGCAGGGAGGAGAAGGCCGAGCCGCAGCAAAGGATGATGCGTGTGTCCAAGGAGCTCGCTGGTCTGTCCGCCTGTCTGTCTGGCTGTCTGTCTGGCTGATGGGTGGATTCACTGTGATGGTTGTCTGTCCGGTTGTGGTTGTGTGTGTGTGGTTGTCAGGTTTGGGCACGCTGCTGCCGCTGCACCGGTCCTCGTCGATCTTTGTCAGATACGACGAGAAACACACCAACCTATGGCGGTACGTCAGCCACACACACAGACGGACAGACAGGCTGACAGACAGACAGACACACCAGACACTGTGTGTGTTTGGTGTGCATGTGTGTGGGCAGTGCGTTGATAGTGGGCCCCGAGGACACCCCCTACGACGGCGGCTGCTTCCTGTTCGACGTATACTTCGACGTCATGTACCCCACGAAGCCGCCAAAGGTGGGTGGGAGCCAGTGCACTGGGGCCACACACACACACAGGGAGCGACGCCATCGCATTCGTGTGCCGATTGTTCTGTTCTGGTCTCCTTGTGTGTGTGTGTGTGTACTGCTGCGTCAGGTGTTGCTGAGGACGACTGGCGGCGGGCGCATCGGCTTCAACCCGAACCTATACGCCGACGGTGAGATGGCATGGTGACACTGCAAGGCCAGCGGATCAGTCACTCTTTTTGTTCATCTGTGTGTATGTCTGTGTGTGTGTGTGTGTGTGCGCGTGAAGGTACGGTGTGTCTGTCGTTGCTGGGGACGTGGCAGGGCGGCAAGGGGGAGTCGTGGGACAGCCAGATATCCACCGCATTCCAGGTCAACGCACACACACACGCACACACATGCCTCTTGTCATGTGTCTGTCTGTCTGTCTGTGTGTGGGTTTGATCGTGTGCAGGTGCTCGTGTCGATCCAGTCGCTCATCTTCGTGGCCAAGCCGTGGTTCAATGAGCCGGTGAGTGAATGAATGAGACCAAGAGGCACACACACACACACGCCTGCATCATGCCTCCCTGCCACGGTCGCGTGTGTGGGACGCTCCCTCTCTCTCTCTCTCTCTCTCTGTCTCTCTGTTTCAGGGCTATGAGGCTCAGATGGGCACCACCACCGGCGACGCGTAAGCCACAGACACACACACACACACACACACCTCCCTCCCTCTCCCATCTCTCTGTGTGTCCTCCCTCCACCCGTTCAGTGCATCAGACGACTACAACCGGCGCATCCGCGACGGCACCGTCAAGTACGCCATGGTCGACCTGCTCAAGTCGCCGCCGCCAGAGTTCGCCGACGTCATCAAGCGCCACTTCAAGCTGAGGCAGCAGCACGTCGTCAAGACGGCCGAGGCGTGGGCGGCGGCCAGGAACGCCACTTTGCACAAGAGCGACGTGGCCACACTCAAGCAGCTGCTGGACGCTCTGTGAGTGAGGGGCGGCGCGAGTAGGTAGACAGAGGGGCTACGGTAGCCGCCCGGATTGTTTTGGTTTAACGATAGATGGGGTGGATCCATCTGTGTGTGTGTGTGTGTGTGTGTGTGTCTGAGAGGGGGGAGAGGAGGGGTGAGGGGCCGTTTTGATGTGTCGGCGGTCGGGTGCGACCGTCTTTCTCTCTCTTGATGCAGCCGCATGTGTGTGGGTGTGCGAATTGCATGCGATTGGATGACAGGCTCCGACCTGATTGCCTGCCATCGTGGGAGTGCCGCTACTGTGGGAGTGCCCTCATGTTGGTGTCGTTTGTGCGCGTGTCATTCTAGACGTCGATGAGATGGTGGGTCAGTCCACCAGTTCACCAGCGTCTACGCCGGCAGGCTCAGCAGATGACACCACCAGGAGAGCTGACCATCCACTCGCCTAACCAAACAATGTGATCTATGCGCGTAGCGTAACATGACCATTCCTCTAGAATGTCCCGGATGGGAACCCTCGCCGGCCCATCCTCGCCGAAACATTGGCCCCCACCTTGCGAATCGCAACAGCTTTCGAGAGAGGCGAATTAGATCGGTCACAGCTGCGGCGATCGGCCATTTCGCAACCATTTCGCAGCCCGAAGGCCCTGAGGCTCAGGGCGGACTGAATGGACAGCAGGAGCTCTAGAGAGGCTCTCTGCGCATCAATGCACCATCCAGCTCCTGTAAGCCGACACAAGTGACACCGCACGAGCCCTCCCCATTCACGACTTTGTTTGTCTGAATATCAGCAGCAGCATAGCAGCGACGTTCGGAAAATGTCACACTCATCGCATGATCAGGCTCTGGCCGATCCAGGGGCTGTGTGCGGGCGCATGGCGTCCCTCAGTGGGATGGGCGTGACGGCACCAACGCCTCCCAGACGAGGCAACAAACATCCGGTGAGAAAAAGAGAGAGAAACGACTGTAGGTGATGAGGGAGGGAGAGGGAGCTGTGCCATCCATGTGTTGGTTGCATGGTCGGCTTGTCAGATTGGTGCGTCGTCGGTAGACCCACAGCCGGCCAATCCCCACCCACTGCCTCCTAAGAGGGCCGCTTCATACACCAACGGAATCGTACGGAGAGAGAGGGGGAGAGGGAGACGGCCCCAGATCTCTCAGTTCAATGTCTGTTCTCTGCAGGCATGTGCTGCCCCGACTGTGCACAAGGTTGCGAGCGACCCCTGTGTGGTCCGTGAGGGCATCGTGGGCGGCGCGGGCTGCAGCGGCCGGTGCAACACCATATCCACCACCAGCGACGTGCACAACGAGGTCGCCCCTCCCGCCCCTGCCGGCAGCAGGAGCTTCGACAGAGACGAGGAGAGGACCGGCCCTGTGCACGTCGCCAAGGCGCTCAACCTGGACCTCTCCCGGATGGCCAGCGAGAAGGACACCAAGGCAAAGGCAAAAGCAAAGACAGACGCCCAGCAGCAGCCGGAAAGGTAAGCAGACAGGCGAGCGAGGTTTTTTTCCACTCACTGTGGGCCTTTCCTTTCTCTCAGTCCGAAGGCACCACCCAAGCCCCCCCGGCGTCGCAAGAGCTCCACGCGTTCCCCCTCGCCCCGCAATCGCGGCCCTCCCCTGAGCAAGAGCAAGACGGCCTGCGCCAAGAAGGAGTGCGAGAAGGCCGACAAGGAGACACAGACACCGCGCAGGAGCGAATCGCAGATGACGCCACGCAGCAGCCGCACCCGACCACCTATCGTTCCACACATTCCTTTGCCGCCTCGCCGGTCGCTCACGGATCGTATGGCTGGCGACGGGAGCCAGGGGGCCTCGGCAAGGGAGCGGGCTGTGGGCGGAGAGAGGGAGGGGAGGGACAGAGGGGTCGGTGACGACGGGAGCTCGCCTCGTTCTTTGGTTGAAGGTGAGAGGGAAGAGAGGGAGGGGTGTGGCGGTCGATGTGTCATTGTGCTGTGATGTCTTGTGTGGTGCAGTGTCAGGTGGCCGCAACACGCGTGCCCGCAGCGCTGACAGGCGGCCGAGGGAAGACGAGGGCTCCTCCGTGTCTCCCTCACACGCCGCAACGCACCGCTCCTCGCGTCAGCCCGATCAGGACATCCTTGCTCATGCCCGGTCAGACACAGACAACACGCGCATGACACACACCCCCACCCACATGTCTCCGTCCCCCGCAGGATCCGCCGCGACCTTCGGAAGCGGCAGCTGGAGGAAGAGAGCCGACGCGACCTCACCTTTCGGCCGCAGGTCAACCCCTCCGAGCACCTCCTGCCCACACACGTGACGCTAACCTCGCCCCCGCCGCCCTCCGCTCTCCCCTATCGCCCGGCCGACATGCCATTGGCTGGCCTCGTCCGGGTGGATGACCTGAACGTCTTCAACCGGCTGTATTCCTATTTTTTGCAGCAGAGGGAGATGGAGGCGGAGGCCACGCAGCAGCGTCAGGGCAACGGAAAGGGCGATGGCAAGGGCCGCAAGTGGGAGGACGTGGCTATGGCGAGTTTCTTGCTGCATCGGCAGGCCGGCGAGAGGGATGAGCGGTCAGAAAGGCGGCTACGTGTGTGGGTTGTCTTCCCAAAGAGACATGACTGATGGCGCGTTCGTTTCTCTTTCTGTCTGTGTGTCCAGGTTGCGTGAGGCCCGGGATCGCGAGATGAAGCGGATGGCTGACCGCCAGAAAGCCGTTCTCCGTGTGCAGAAGAAATCCAAGTCCTACTACCAATTGGCTCTCGAGAAAGAGGTCAGCTTCCCCCCCTCCCCAATCTCCCTCTCCCTCTCGCCTTTTGCATGTTGTCGATGCGTGCAGGTGATGGAGGCGTTGCGTCTGGCGAACCCCGGCAGGGCCGACAGGGTCCTGACCCGCGAGACGCTGGAGTTTTGCCTGATACAGATGAAGTGCATCAGCCTGCTCACGCCATGCTTCGACAGCAAATCAGCCGAGAAGCGGCTCCGGAAGAGGCAGCGAATGCTGGACAACCTGTGGAGGTCAGACACAGGGAGGCAGGGAGGGAGGGAGGGGAAGCCTAGATCTCTATACCTCTCACACACACACTCTCTCTCTCTCTCTCTCTGTCTCTGTGTGTGATGCCGTTCATTCAGGATGCTTGATTTGTATGGGCTTGGCTGGGTGGAATGGGTCACGATGGTCGTGTTTTTCCAAGTGCTGATGGGCGCGCACTCACCAGAGTTTGAGGACAACAGGGGCTGGCAACTCCCACCACAACCACGCCCCCATCCCCCGGCAGCAGCAGCAGCGGCGGCAGCTGCGCAGCCCCAGGAGGGGCAGGAAGGACAGCCCCAGGACGGCGGCTCAGAGCCACCCCCACCCCCACCTCCGCCCGTCCCCGCCCCGATTCCAAAAATCGGATCGTACCAACATATTCGTGAATTGATGACGCGGTAATCCAGTTAGTCAACGAGAGAGACACAGAGGGAGGGAGGGACGTCAGCAAGCCGTCTTTGTCCCTTTGTCCGCGTCATGCACGCAGGTTTCGCCAGAATGCGCTGCGGCGGGAGTTTCGTGAGCTGTTCCACCACCGTCTGTCGCACACCAAGGCCATGGCAGCCAAGGCACCCAAGGCAGCCGCGGCAGCCACGGCAGCCAACAAGGCGGGCAGCAGGCCGCAGACCGCTCGGACGCCGCCGACCTCCCCACGGCTACTCTGCGCCGCCCGGTCGAGGCCCGCGCGACACATGCAGGTACACAGACCACACACAGACCCACTCGTGTGTGCACTGATTTGTCTGTCTGTCTATCAGCGCCAAGGAGACCTCTCACCCCCAATGGCCGTGGCTCGCTCCTTTCCAATACCAGAGCAGCAGCAATACCACAACCACCACAAGCAGCCGATGGGGCAGCAGCAGGTGCCGATACAAGAGGGCGGCGGTAGCGGCCAGTATGGGCAGCATGATGACGATGATGGCCACCATGACCAGTATGACCAGCACATCGACGATGACGACGACGACGGCTCCTTCTCCCTGACCTACTCTGAGTCTGAGGACGACGGACAGCCCGAGGGAGACGAAGACGGAGAGGAGGAACATGAGACACACAACCACCATGAGCAGCAGCAGGAAGACGTGGCGATACTCCTCCACGACAACCGGCACTCGCTCATGTCGCAGACTTCACGGTACACACGCGGCGCAGAGAGAAAAGGTCCATAAGAATCGAGGCTGGCTGTCTGTGTGTGTCAGGATATTGGCCGAGCGGCGTATGCATCGCGAGATCGACGAGATTCGGTCGGCCGAGCAGTCGCCCCCCTCGTCCAACGAGGAGTCGCCCAAGTCACGCAAATCTGGCGACCCAGCAGCCTCTGGCACTGCCCCATCCAACAGCAACAACCAACACGCAAAGGCACGCACACGCGCCGCCACACATCCCGAGAAGAAGACCCGGATCCACCTGCATATGTCTCTCTCTCTCTCTGTGTGTGTGTGTGTGTGTGCGCAGGGAGCCACCATGACGGTAGCCGACCTGCTGGAGTGGCGGAAGCGCAAGACAGAGATGCGGCTGCAGGCCTCCCGCCAGCAGAAGGAGGCCGATCAGCTCAAAGGCTGCTCATTCAGACCAAAGCTCACACCCTATCACGCACCCGGCGGGCACACCCACCCCCACCCCCACATCCACACCGAGCAGCCCATCAGGAACAGCGTTTCCCGGTTGCAACGAGACGCGGCTCCTGTTGTGTCCCGCCACGACGAGCTCTACGCCAAGGCCATGTCTCAGCAGCAGAGGCGGCGGGAGATGTGTCAGCTGGTGCGCACGGAGCGGGCCCAGAGGGAGATGGAGGCCTGCACCTTCCGACCACAGATCAACCCGTTGCCACATGACAAGAACCGGCCAGCTGCAAAGACTGCAAAGATCAACAGGCCCCCACTCAGCAACAACACCAACGCTCACTCGACCCGACAGAAGGCCACAGGCCAAGCGCTTGGCCAGAAACGCGTCGTCCGTGATCAGCGCAGAGTGGTGTCTCGCGAGGAGGAGATGCCTCCTATCACGCCCATGCCCACACCCAATCCGGCCTCTCCTGAGCACCAGCAGCGCCAATTCCATCAGCAGCAGCAGCAGCAGCAGCAACAGCAGCAGGTCTCCCCTCCCCGGTCCCCTCCCCACTCAGCGCGCCTGCGTGACATTCCTGATCATGAGAACCAAACCAGTGACCCAGACAGCCACGAGACGCCGGCTCCTGCAGACGACGACAGGGTGCCCGTTGGCGGCGATGGCGGTGGCGGTGTTGGTGGTGTTGGTCTGGATGGTGCAGATGTATACGGGGTGGCTGGAGGCGCGGCGATGCGGCAGCTTCTGCAGCCGGCGTCTCTGGGTGAGACAGCAGCGCGGGAGGAGCCCCATGGCGTGGGGCAGCAAATGCCTGACGGACTCGACAAGGACACGGCCGACGAACACACGCAGAGTAGGCAACGGAGAGAGACACTCAATTGACAACCACCACCACCACCACCATCTGTCAGCTCTTCTGTCTTTCTGTCTGTCTGTCTGTCTGTCTGTGTGTGTGTGCAGAGCAGCAGCCTGTTCCGCCGCCCTCTTCGACTCAGGAGACGCTGTCGCCTCCCTCTTCCCTCCCGTCGTCCCCCTCCTGCCCACCCCCGCCGGCTCCCGTGTCCGAGGCAGAGGCCCTGCTGCTGGTTGATGTCAACCTCGCCGCTGACACGCCCCCACAGCGCATGGTCATTCGCTACGGCGACGACCCACAACTGGTGAGTGAGTGAGCCTCACAGACAACAAAGGCAGCAAGGAAGGAGAGAGGGAGGAGACACAAGGGTGTGCACATGACATGTGAGGTCCGTGTGTGCGGTGGATGGATGGATGGATAAATCAGTTGGCCCGGCGCTTTGCCGTCGAGCATGGGCTGCGTCCCGAGTACGAGGCCAAGCTCCTGGACTTCCTCCGTGCGCAGATCTACCAGTTCTACCAGCCCACAATGCAGGCAGGCGACTTCTACAGCCCACAGGCATACCCACAGCAGCCAGGGCCGGCCCAGCACTCGGGTGCGGGGCACCTGGCCACGGTGCCTGAGGAGGCGCCTGAGGAGCAAGATGAGGAGGTGCAGCAGGTGGTGGAGGGGTGTGCTGATGGTGGTGAGCAGCAGCTTAAGGGCATGAGACGCTGCTCATCGGCGTGAGTAGCCAGCCAATCGGTCAAGTGAGTGAGGGGGGAGGAGACGTCCGTCTGTCGGTGTTTGTTTGAGAGCATCCGATCCCTGTGCAGACTTTTGTACGTGTGTGAGTGACTGACGAGGGAGGAGACGTCTGTCTGTGTCGGTGCGTGTCGGTATGTGCCTGCAAGAATGAACGAATGGATTGGTCGGGATTCCGCGATGCTTCCTCGGTTGGCCATGACAGTTGACGCACACATACGTCATCAGGCGGTCCAAAATCACACACATCGAGTCAACCACGGGTATACACTACACGTGCCCACGTATCTAGGCAGTCCCGTATCCATCAAAACCTCACTACACCTGCTGCCAATCTCTACGAAAGCTGGCTACGGAAAAAGCCGTCGGTGTCGAGCTCACCGAAGAGGCTTGTGTCGTGCAGGGGTGCCGGCAGGTGTGGTGCCGTAAGATCATCCTCTTCTCCGTCCATCGGCAGAGCAGGGAACGGAGGCGGGTGACTGTGTGACGAGTGGGCGGGTGTGGGGGCCAGGGGCCACTTATGGGATGGCACCGGTTGCCCGTCAACTCCTGCATACACCAAACGCACCCGAACAGAGGCACACATCGACAGCGCGCCCGAACACAGGCATAAGTGTCTGCCAATCACCTGCGTGTGTCGTGTGAGATTTCGCTCGTGCGTAGGCCTCGTCAATGTCCTTGAACGTGTCACCTCTGGCCTCCACCATGAAGCACACCCTCCCCGACGGACTCGTGCCCACACCGAAGCCCTCTCCCTTCTGGATGCTTATCGCATAGGCCTGGAGCTCAGCCAGAGGCCGCGACCCACCTGAGCACCAACACACAAGATACACTTCCGCCACCATCACCGCACGGCTTACCGGCGCTTAGCGTGTTGCTATCGGAGTATACGATCGGAGGAGGGGTCGTCTCCGTCATCTGACAGTGGAGGAAGGAGAGCAGCGTGATGCACTCATTGATGTGATAGTGAGGAGGTGGACCCACCTGCAAACTCAAACTCACACCCGGCCCACCAATTCCGAGCCTGCATCAACCAGACCACAACAGAGGGGTCCTTCCCTGCACTTGCTGCCACCTTACTGGTTGCTGGTAGGGCTCGACTCGCTTGGCGGTGCCGTTGGCATAAAGGCCTGAGAGGAGAGGACAACAGGTAAAAGATCTGCTGCTCTGGTCGCTATCCTTACCTGTTGCTCAACTGACGGGCATTGATACAGGTATGTGCTAGCGAAGGTCATCTGCATCCATGAAGAAGTGAAGAGAGCGACCATGGAGGAGAGAAGCGACATGTGCTCGCCGCTGTCTGCTCACCTGCTCTTTTCGTTGAAACTTGTTCATCAGGTCAGCCGGCATCTTCACCTGCAGGTCAAGCACAACACAAATAAATGAGTCGGCGAAGATGCACTCACTCTCTTCTGCCACCCTCCCACCCACCCACCTCTTTTCTCTTGCGCGTCTCCAGTTTCCTCTGCTTTGTCGCGTCAGAGAGAGCATCCCAGTGGTATTTCTCCATGTGGTGGTCGTGCCCCTTGCGCATGCACATCCGCCCACAGATGCCCCCCGTGTCCACGTCGGTCTCGCCACACCAGACGATGTTCTGGTCGCAGTTGGTGGAGCTGATGGGGGAGTACTTGATGCTGTACTGCAAACGGTCCAGCCCTCCGCAGAAGACACGCAGCAGACACGTGTCTTCTGCGGAAACGTGGTCCGTGACGGTCCCCAGAAACGCGTGAGGCGCTCGGTAGGCGAAGTTGGTGTACTTGTACATGCGGTCTCTGCCGCCACGATCCGCTGGTGCATCCGTCTGGGCACTTGGTGTGGGTGCGCAGGTGATGATCACGTGTGGCCCGAGGAGGCGCCCGACAAGGCCAGGATTGAGCTGCAACTCGACGGTGTCCACGTCCTGAAGCACTCGCTCCTTTGAGCGCGGGTCGTACAGCTGACGGCGACGTCCACCGGCCGACACAATGACGATCTTGCCGCCGCCTTTGAGGTTCTTGAAGTTGGCCTGGACGACCGCGAAGACGTATGGCGCTGCACGCACACAAACACACATGGGCATTAGCGTGATATTGGGCTGATGAGGGAGCTGCGTGCACCTGTGATTAATCACCTGCTGGCACGAGGAGTGAATCTCCTTGACCAGTGAAAGACGACATCTCTGCAGGTACGCCCTGTCCTGCATGAACAAACAAACCTCGTAAAGGCACTTGTGTGGATCAGGGTGAGGCCTCTGGTCTCACCTTACACGCTGAAGGAGCTGTCCGTGAGACCAAACAACAGCGTGCGCAATGAGGCGAACAGGCAACAAAATGCCTGAGTATGCCTGCTGCTGCCGTGAAGCAGCCTGCAGGTATTCTGAAAGCGCCATTAACCAATGCTGGGGTCCGAAAAAGAGGAGGACCATTATCGGTGGAAGCTCGCGATCGTGATGCGAGCTCAATGTGCGCCGATAATGATGAAAACACAGTAACCAACCAACCAAACGGGAGTGGCACTCTCATTCTGTCATGCATCGATTCGATCCGAATTCATGAGTCGGAGATCTGTCACTTTTGCTCAATCGTGATGAGCAATTGAGGATGAGTGATTTTGACTCACAGGTAGTGTGACTGCACTGCCTCACACATGCCATCTTTGTATGGTTCTCGTGTGTGTTGATCCAGGATGAGGGGAGGAGGGCAGCCGCAGGAGCTGAAGAGCATCATCCTGGCAGCCAAACACAAGTACTGCCCCTACACAGGCAAGCTGAGTCACTGTTTGATGGTATTTCAGGTTGGCCTCGGTGATGAGCTTACTGTCCCTGGCCTGGATGAGCCACACGAGCAGGGCGCACCCATCGGCCCACAGACTCCGATTGTCTGCGGCGGTCAGCCGGCATTCAGCAGTGGCGTACCGGCGACCGAAGAGCTCCAAGCAGGCGGGCAACCTGAGGGATTCAGTCTCTCGCAAGTGAGCAAGCTGCAAAGCCATCGGTAATATGCACCCTCCTGCCTTCTGTGTGTCTTTCCATTCCAGCCCGCGGATGCATTGGCGGCACAATGTGACCTTTCGGAGCAGCAGCCCTTCAGATGGCCTTTCGATATCTCTCCAGCTGTGCCGTTCAATCTGCACTCTTCCGCCCATTCGGAGGCGCCGCTCTTTCCAACACTCGGGCCGCAGGAAGCAGCACAGGTGAGGCAATAGGATCCACTCTTTCTGTCCTGTGGGAATGTGAATGTGTGTGACTTGTCAGGGCCATGTGTGCTCCGCGCTCCCATTCCCCCACCTGCCCCTTGTGCCGTACGAGTCGTCAAGACAGCGGGCAGAGTCTATTCCGCCACGCCTGTCGACAATGCCGGCAAGACAGTCTTCACAAGTGAGAGGCACGCAGACTGTCGTTCGATTCATCGCAGCCTTGTACGTGTGCCTCTTCAGGTGATGACCAAGAGGGCGGGGGAGGTATCTATCGGCGAGCGCTGTCGATTGGTCGCCGAATTTAATCGACGCAAACAGACCGGAGAGAAGATCACAATGCCTCAGTTTGCGCAAGAGAAGGGCATCGAGCAGACACGATTCAAGAAGTGGTGCTCTGCCATCAAGAAACAGCAGGAGGAGGAGGGCGGGCAGGTGTGGGACGCAACCAGGAAGCGCAACCGAAAGGGCAAATTCCCCGAGCTCGAGGTCGAGATGTGGAAGTGGCTTTTTGGCCACCAAGATTCAGCGGCAATCCCCCCGAAGCTCATCAGGGCCAAGGCCTTAGAGATCGCTGGCCAGCTGCGAATCGATGGCTTCTCGGCTAGCGACTCATGGATCACGGCCTTCAAGAGACGATGCCGGCAGGTGGGACAGAGCACAATCAGAGAGGGCAAAGCCATTGTTCGTCGATTCCTTGTTGTCCATGTGACCTCTGCCAGAATCCCCCTGAGACGTATGAGCCATCAGCTGCACCTATTGCAGTCGCTTCGTCGCGTACTGACGTCCAACCAGCGCAGGTAGGAAGAGTCTTGTGTGCATACTTTGTGGATGGGGATGAGTTCAATTTATTGGCGCAGGCCTGGATGGGCAGACTGCCCTGCGACGTTGAAGCGTCAACTTACCATCAGAGCACGTCGCGGCTGATCAAGCAGGACCCGCCTGATTCGCAACCCCTACCCGTCGCCCAAACACCATCCCTGCAGCTCCCATTAGCAGCTGCCGATCATCTCCACCCCCCGCCGCGGTCGATCAGTTACTATCCGACGCCGCGGACGAACGCAGGAGGGCGAGAGCAAGGCTTGGGACACTCAGACACAAATGGCCTGAGCAGACATGTACGCATCAGACAGGCATGAGCGCACCATAGAAGCTTCCAGTCATTCATATGGTTGACTTCTCTCAGCGCTTGGCGTCATCTGATCCGTCGGCAGCGGCTGCACTCCCCTTTCCCATCGCTCCAGCTCACCTAACTCACCCACACCACCTTCCAATGTCCTTCGACGATCGCGCTCCGTCGAGCGGCGCGACCCCAGTCCCCTTCCAATCAGACCCAATCGCGAGGCACCGCCAGGTCGAGCATCAGATGCGTCACTGGATGGAGGGCTTTTCGCTGCCGGCGCGTGTGGCTCCGGAGGCCATCAGGGCCAGAGTGATGGAGGTCGCCGGTCAGCTGGGTATCGATGGCTTCTATGGCGATTCATGGATCGCAGCCTTCAAGCAGCGATGGCAAAAGGTGGGACATAGCAAACAGTCGGAAAGACATGCTGTCATGCTGTATGGATCTGTAGAATCCCGCCTGCTTCATCGCCGGCAGGAACAATCGGGACACATCGCCCCCAATCGAACAGGTGATAAGCAGGCTCATGTCCCACATGCTTTCAGGTTTATCATCGTCTCCCAGAGCCACCACGAGATTGCTGCTGCAGCGGCCTCCATGCCTCCTCCATCGGTACCATGAGAGACTCATTGATGGATTCATTTTAAGACTTCCTGTGTCTTTTCAGAAACCCGGCGTGGCATCAGAACTGGTTCATGCATTGCAGGTGGTACGAGAAGCGTGCCATGAACCAGTCACGGCTGCCAATGTGGCTCGTTTGTATGCAGGCGATGAGTGAGCAGAACCGAGTTGACACTGTTTCTGGTGCTCAAACAGCGGATGACACTCAAGCCGACGGACACACAGAGAATGTGAATGCGGAGAATGTGAATGAGATGCTGGTAGGAAGACCGAGGCCGCAAACAAGATCAGTCAGTCACATAGGCGTATGTCCCTGGTGCCTCGCATGGTCTGTAATGTATTCAGGCACTCACACTTGACACAGCTCCTTCACATCGGCCTCACCCACATTCACAGCATACACCGCTGTTCTCGACGGCTCGCACCACGGATCGAAGAGACGGCAAGGTCGGATTCGCCAACTCGGGCGATGGCGAGTTCCAATCCAACTCGGGTGACTTCAATGCTCCCAATCTCCAACGGTTGGGCAGCGAGAAAGTTGATGTCACCTACAACTCGAACGATTGGTGAGTTGACACAGAAGACACTCGTACATGGATATGGATGCAATTATGCACACTTATCGCTCTGCACCACCAGGTTGTATGGCACGTGCACACGTGGGCGCAAAGCGGGCTTCAGTGGATGGCTCCCTTCCGCAGCCGAGACAGAGCCGCTCTCGGAGCTACTGGGTGTGTCGAGCCTGGTGGTCTCGCTGCAGAGTCTCGCCAGCACGGTGCCTTTGACGGAGCCAGTGGTAGGTTTAGACCCAGTACTTTTCTCACTGCACATCTTATTCCTTTCATTGTAGGCCACTGTGATGATCGAAAATCAGCTTTCATTCATCGTTTCCACGATTCACAAGAATCGAGCGGCTATCAACCAGAGGGAAGGGGAGATTGTGAGTCAAATGGGGGACGACATGAGAGACTTGCTTATGAGAGTGGCACCGCACGTCGGCGAATGCCATGAGGATTTGATAAGTGCGCTCCGACGACTCGGCGAGGAGATGACTGACAACGCTGCAACAGCATCTTCTGGTCTTGGCGACTCGCTGAATGGCCTTCTCCAGTCGCCAACAGGATCTGAAAATGTCGGGTGGTCTTGCGAAGCTCTGAAGGCCGTTGCGAGATGGACCGTCGAACAATTCAACAAATCGAGAGAGTAAGCAGCCATATGGATACGTATACCGCTTGCACTCATGCGTCTCTCTCTCTCTCTCTGTGTGTGTGTGTGTGTGTGTGTGCGTGTCTCCGTGTGTGTGCGTCTGTGTGTAACGTTCTGTCGATGGTTTACGAAAGACTCGCAGAGCACGGTGCGCCACCCGCAGAGCACAAAGTGGCCAAGCCGGCAGTCGGCACTGTTATTGCAGGTTAGCTAGATGCCTCCGCAGAGTGAGCGTGTGTTCATTTGTGTTCGAATGTGTGTTCAGATGTATACTTGTCCGAGCAGTCTGAGCTGCTCTTGCTTCGCTGTGACGACCAGGTGTTGGCGATGCACACGGACGGCAGGGGATGGATGTACGGCAGATGCATCAAGGGCAATATGAAGGGACATAGCGGATGGTTTCTCTCCACCATCGTCACATTCGACAACAACCCACAGGCCAGCCCATCTTCTTCCACCGCAGCTAGCGCAAGGCGCCTTCCTGCCGCACATCGGACTCAAGAGCCCCCTGCATCAGCTTCAGCTACCATGTCTGCTGCACGCCTTTTTGACTCCGTCCAGTCGCCTCTATCCATCACCAGTCACCCAGCCCCACACCCTATTGCACCTACCGGCATCGGCAGGTGCGATGCGGATGCTGCTGCTTCACAGCAGTTGCAGGGCGAGGAAGCTGCATTTAGACACACAGCGGATGCATTTATCGGCCGACATCGCCACGATGAGCCAGAAGGGCCTCCTCAAGTAGAGCGCCCTCCGCCGATTGACGACCACAGCCAGCAGGTAGACACAATCGATCAATAATACACCAGTGAGCAAGCCTTTCTCTGCGTGCAGCCACCGACTGTGGCAGCAGCAGCTGTGGACCGACAGTCAGACCACTCACGTAGCCGGAATACTATGAGCGTAAGAAAGCACAATATCAGTGCAAACAAGCCGGAGACACATGACCGACGCACATTCGTACTGTGTCCTCTCAGGTCATCCATTCAGAGGACAGGAGAACAGCAAGTGGCGACCGACATCTGAATTACCAGAAGAGTGACGGATTTGCTCACTTTGCGAAGCCGCCCTCGGCGGTGAGCAGTGCATTGGGATCTACTACACTGTTTTGTTGCCACATTCGTGTCTGCTTGCCGTTTAGGTACCGTCGCGTTCGTCGGTCAAGTCTGTGGTCAGCATCACTGTCGATGATTATCTTAGCGACATACTGGAGGTCAGCCACACAAGCAGGATGACAGGTACAGGCCGTAAGCTATCCTGCCCGTCTGTCTTGTCATCAGCATGACGACAATGAAACCAGCTTGGCGCGTTCTGTCGTGAGTACCGAAGACAACGACTCAGGAGAAAAGGTGAGGTTGGATCGAAATGGCACGAAGAATCAGTCCTCGTTTTCTTTCTTGCATTCGCAGAACAATGATAGCGGCGCGACAGACGAAGACGATATGTCGCATCGCGTACTCGAGACCCACGAGAGCACCACAGCACGCGCAGTACGACGGCTGCCTGTGTGTTGTGTTGTCTGCAGGTGATATTTGGCAGCAGCCTGGGTGCGCCTTTGAGTGTGTGGCTCTTCACTCCCTCTTCGTGCCGCACATATTCGGCCAATGCAGCTTCACGTTGCTGTACAGGTGCATGCACAATCACGACACATGCAAGCTCGGTCGCCCTCGTTTGCATTGTGTTGTCAGGGCTTCGCGTGATGGTGGCAAGATTCGTGATATGTATCGCCATGTGGGCGATGCGACGGGCTTGGTGTTTGTCGTCCGCAAAGGTCAGTACACCTTTGGTGTATACATCAGCGATGGAATCAGACCACCGGTGGCTCAGAGCGAGGCCGAGTACCGGCTCGTCAATGCCAGTTATAGAGTAACGAAGAGCATCTACAGGCAGCATCAGCAAAGAAAGGCGAGAAGATGGTCGTGGATGTGTGTTGTGGTGTTGTGTATTGTATGTCAGGCTGATAGGGGTGATGGCATGCAGCTGACAGTCAAAAAGGGCGACGCCGTCCAAGTCTTCCTTCACGACCCCTCCGGATGGACATATGGCGAGTAAGACATAGACGAGACAAACTCTCATGTCTTCTTTCTGCACTATTTCTCAGATTGAGCAACGGCAACTGCGGGTGGTTCTCCGACCGCTGCCTGGGCAAGCGCCTCACCGGACAGCCATTCGGCATGGCAGCAAGAGAGGCAGCGGACACCCACAATCACCACCACCAACAGCAGCTGCAGCAATCCGGTGTGATGCATTCAACGCTCAACCCCCGCGCCAAGCCGTGGCACCCCTTCCAGGGGCCCTCATTCAGCGACATACTCATGCGGGGCGACGGAAATGGTCATGCGGGGGATGCGGAGCGGCGGACATCGTGGCCATGGGGGGGTTGGCATGGGGTGTTGGTTTGCGGTCATGAGGACAACACCTCATGTGTGCATGCGGAGCGGCGCGTCGATGGCACGCCGTGGCTTCTTTTCCAGGGGCTGCCGTTCAGCGACGGCGAGGGCGGGGGAGGGGCCACATCTGCGCAGGCACGGCAATGCGACGAAGGCAAGAACAATGACAATGGCGATGAGCGAGATAGAACTTGTACAATGTAGCCGTTATGTCGGTCAGGGCCTTCGTTTGTCAGCGCCAAGCTGCCCCCATCCCTCGTTGACAGCCAGGAAGGCACCTCAACCACATGCAGCAACCACATCCCTCTCACCGCATCACAAAAAAAGATTCACGGTGGCTCGCTCCCGAAGGGCTCTGAAAATGTGCGCACAATCTTAGCACAGGACATTTATGGATATGTTGCCTTGTACTGTAATGTGTTCTGTTCTGTAGTGCCAGGCTGATGGGGATGACGCTATGGAGTTGGATACGCTTGAAGTGTTCCTGCGCGACCCATCCGACCGCGACATGTGTGAATTGGACAAACACACACACGCAGTCGGAGTTAGCCCGTATCTGTCTTCCTCAGGTTCTTCGATGACAGCTCCAATCGCAGCCTGGGCACCGGACGCAACATGGTGTTTTCCCTGGCCGGCCACTTCAGTGCGCCTGCGAAGATCATGCGTCGATACCAGCAGTATGTGCGTGTGGCTAGCCGATTGGAGGTGGTGTCTACTTCGACTCAATGGAGGCGTGAGATCAGCGAGATCATCGATGAGAACACTTACTCTGATACTGCCGATGTGCGGGAGCGCTGTCAGTTTCTCATCAGTGAGGCGCCCCCGGACTATCAAGGGGTGACACATGCACGGGGCTATGCTCTTCTCGGTGGGAGTGAGATCTTCACGGCTGATGAGGTGGAGGTCATTCGTGCCGAAGGACTCTCATTTCTGCCGCCACGGCAGGTCAGACACGAAGCGTCAATACAAGTGTGTGGTCGCTTGCTGATGTAGCCTTCTCTCGCAGATGATTGAGGGGAGCACTTTGAATCTCTTCCAATGTGCGGCTATCTGTTGGTGGCACTCGACCGTGGACCGAGCGGCACGGAGCCTCAGTGGGAGCGCTGGACCGACCGGTGGCGATGCGAACTTCTGGCAGACCTTCCTCCTCCGATACGGTGCCAAGAGCGGCCGCCTTCGCGCGGCTGTGGCCTCGCTCGTCTCTACCCT